CGGCTCAGATGCAGCCATCGCACTGCAGGCCAACGGCACCGCTGGCGAGGCGAACTTGGTTCCTGTGTATGCTAACAGGCATTCTACGGGGAGCGCCATTTCTCTGCAGATGAACGGCGAGGAAGAAACGGCCATCATCTACGGCAACGTTGTCCAGGCGATATGCGGCATCGCAGCAGCATGCGATGATGAGAAGATTACTGCTCTCGCTCAGTCTATGCTGCTGCAGAAGTTGGACAAGGTCAACGTCAGTGTAGACACTCAAGTCATCGCCGGCGCCGCTACGCTGGCCCTTAGTGGAGGCCAACTGGAATTCCGCTCTCTCCTCAAGCTCTACTCGAAGATATGCCACATTGGTGTGGTGGAGAAGAAGGACTTCCTTCTGGGTTCAGTCAAGAGAGCTCGTGCTCACATCTCTGCTCGCCTGCGTCGGGATTCTCCCTTGTTCGACATCTACTGGGAGCATCTGCTGGACAGCATCATTTCCCTCGGAGACGCTCACGCATCCGGGCAAACCAAGGATTCCGACGTACAGTTGGCTGCTCTAGAGATTGGCGAGCTACTCCATCCTCTCGCTGTCTTCATGGCCAGCAATGATCTTGCCTCGGAGCCTCTGGCGAACGATGACTCGTATAGTCTTCTGAGAGACGCATGGTTCAATATTGTTGTACACGGCTTTATGACCACTACTGAGCGCGGCAAGAAGTACATCGATGAGCTTCGCATGATTGCCGTGCACTCTCCCGCGCTGGTGGCGAGCTCGCGCAGTGAGCAAGTCGAGAGCGACATCGAACTCAATACTATCCTGAGAAGAGGACACAGCAACGACCGAGAGGCGATGCAGAAGAAGCTTCTCAGCGAGCTCGTACCCTCAAAGGCAGCTGACATTAAGAGCCTCAGCTACCGAAAGGTCATCTTCCTTCAGGCTGCCTACCTGGTTGAGAGTCTCCGCGCCGACGCCGGCGACTGCACCAAGGCTCTGACGTACTTCTTGGAGCCGGCCATGCGCAAGGGAGACGTCAGCAGCACAATGGAGGGAATTGCTGCTGCTGTCGTTGACAAATACTTGAAGAAGACGCTCGCCGGCATCGACCCAAGCTTCTCCTCGCAATACGCCGCTACTCAGCTTGTCTCCATCTTCCGCAACTGTTGTCATCGCATTGAGCGAGTCCAACAGGCTGCATTTGCTTGCGCGGACCGTATCATCAGGGACGTCCCTTCAGCCTTGTGTCACAGGACATCTCTCTTTGCTCTGCTGGAGCTGCTCTCCCTCCTGTGGACGAGCTGCCTGGAGGCTGAGACCGACATCTACACGCCACGATCGATCTTCACTTCCAAACTTGGCGATGTGACGCTAGAATTATCGGACGATTATGATTTCCGTCGCTGGACTCTGGACGCCCTTAACCGAAAGGCCAAGGCGTGGGTGACCACTGCCATCAACCTAGCGCCACTGGACGTCAAGGGCCTTCTCCAGACATACTTGTCAGAGTTCGAAGACGACGGTGCATACGGCCATGTATCGCTCGGTCGATCTTTCGCTCTTGAAGTTGGATCCATCATCCCTTCGACGGATAGCAGGCTGCAGTCTCTTGACCGCGTCGGAGACACCGCTCTCAACACAGCATCTGACTTGATCGCTCAGTATACAACTCGCCAGGAGTACCGCTATGGTGAAACGCTGCCGGACAGAGGATCCGAGTTGATCACCTTTATGAACATGAATCGCCGGTCGTCGTTTGTTCAGACCACGGTGATTGAGAGTGCCAATGCGGCCACTGCTCTGGCCCACATCGAGGCTCGAATCCTGAGTAAGAAGTCCACGTCTCTGAATGAGGTTCGCGAGATTCTCAGACGAGCAGCCGCCCTGTTGTGCCGTGGCGGGAAAGATGAGTCGGCCGTCGCTCGCTATCTCGTAAACATACCATTTGCTCTCTTCACGAAGCAGTCCATTAAGCTTGGCGTTTCGTTGTGGCTCGGTGTTATGAATGAGAATCCACGGCTGGAGCCCAAGCTGCTCAACTCCATCGCTCAGCAGTGGGAGCTGAGTATCTCTCGCAAGGTCGGCCTGTTCCATCCAGCTTTGAGCCATCCCGACCCGTTCTTCCTCAAGGAGGAATTCGCGCCAAGCGAGCTGGAGATGCTTGCAAAGAGACGGCAGTTGGTGCATGACATTCTGTCTCCTCACGCTCGTCTGCTTCAGTTCTTCAGCAGCCACTTCAACGCTACCAGGCTTGGCTGCCCCGACATTCAGCGCATCTTTATTCGCATGCTCGACTTGACTCTAGACGCCGTGAAGCAGTGCACGTCCCATCCACTTGCAAGAGAACTGCGTTTGCAGATTGTGCTCTTTGGTCTACAGGTTCTACGATGGAGCACAATCATCAATGCTACTGCCCAGTATCGCCTCAAGGGCAAGATTCTGTCAGCCGGGCTCTCCTGGTTCAGGAACTCGCCCAGATGGTCGTTCGGCAGCAACCTTGTGCAGCTGAAGACGGAGTTTCGCCTCATCTCCGACGTCCTCGCCGCTATGAAAGTTGTTTCTCCCATTGGAGCCAACACGTCTGGCGTCAACTCGCTACGCTCCAAGGAACAGCTGCTGCAACTGCTGCTGGAGAACGAGCAAACACGCTTGACAGTGTGGATAAGCCCCGTCACCCAGCATCACGCTCACTTGACGCTTCATCACGGCGCGTCCAAGGCTGCGATCGAGGCTGCTCTGCTGCCCCTGGTGCCTACTGCCTGGTTTGAAGATCCGGCAATTGCCATTGAGCTGGCGACGAGATTCCACTACCCCCGGTTGACTCGCGAGATCAGATCGCTGCTCCTTGCGATGCCGGAAAAGGCCATTTCTGAGCCTGAAGCCCTTTCGCTCATCCTCGGAGGACATCTACCTGACGATGTCGGTCATCAGCTAAAGGTAAAGACCCCTTCCTCCTTATCACTACTTCGCGTGTTGGGCAAGTCTAATCAAAGTGTAACAGTATCTCTTGTTTTGGGAGCCAGTCAATCCGCTCACTGCCGTGACTCTTTTCCTGCCAGCATACAGAGATCATCCTTTCCTCATTCAATACGCCATGCGAGCTCTGGAGAGCCATTCCGTGGACATCACGTTCTTCTACGTGCCTCAAATTGTGCAAACGCTGCGTTACGATACCCTCGGCTACGTGGAGCGATATATCCTCGAGACCGCGCAGTTTTCTCAGCACTTTGCACACCAGATTATCTGGAACATGAAGGCCAACGCGTACAAGGACGACGATGCTCAGATCCCTGACGCTATCAAGCCAACCCTTGACGCCATCATGACCAAGATGGTCGACAGCTTTGCCCCTGAGGACAGGGACTTTTACCAGAGAGAGTTTGCCTTCTTCGATGAAGTCACCAGTATCTCAGGCAAGCTCAAGCCGTACATCAAACGGCCGAAGCCAGAGAAGAAGCAGAAGATTGAGGAAGAGCTGCGGAAGATCCAAGTCGACGTCGGTGTCTATCTTCCCATTGACGCCGACGGCATCGTCATTGGCATCGACCGCAAGTCTGGAAAGCCTCTGCAGAGCCACGCCAAGGCCCCCTACATGGCCACCTTCCGCATCAAGAAGCACAAGGGCGGGCTCGAGCAAGAGAACCAGCTGCTGGAGGGCACGGCAACGGCAGAAGGCAAGGAGCCCGAGGACAACACCGTCGAGATATGGCAGTCATGCATCTTCAAGGTCGGCGACGACTGCCGACAGGACGTGCTGGCGCTGCAGATGATTGCCGCCTTCCGAGGCATCTTCCACAACGTCGGCCTCGACGTCTTCGTCTTCCCGTACCACGTCACCGCGACGGCCCCCGGCTGCGGCGTCATCGAGGTGCTGCCCAACTCCATCTCGCGAGACATGCTCGGCCGCGAGGCCGTCAACGGACTGTACGACTACTTCGTGTCCAAGTACGGCAACGAGGACTCGCTCCGCTTCCAGCAGGCCCGCAGCAACTTTGTCAAGTCCATGGCCGCCTACTCGGTCATTTCCTTCTTGCTGCAGTTCAAGGACCGGCACAACGGCAACATCATGATTGACGACGCCGGCCACATCCTGCACATTGACTTTGGCTTCTGCTTCGACATTGCGCCCGGCGGCATCAAGTTCGAGCGCGCGCCCTTCAAGCTGACGAGCGAGATGATGGCCGTCATGGGCGGCTCGACGGAGCACCAGAGCTTCAAGGCCTTTGAGCAGCTCTGCATCAAGGCCTTCCTCGCCAGCAGGCAGTACTGCGAGAAGCTCAGCCAGATCGTGCAGCTCATGATGGACAGCGGCCTGCCGTGCTTCAAGCCAGAGAGCGTGCAAAACTTTAGGGACCGCTTCGTCATGGACAAGACGGAGCGCGAGGCTGCCGACTTCATGAAGGACCTGATCAAGAAGAGCTATTCGAGCTACAGCACGGGCATCTACGACCAGTTCCAGTTGCTGACCAACGGAATTCCTTACTGAGTGGGCGGGCTGTATTCCATTGGCCAATTTTATCATCATTCTCAATTCGTTTTTTTTTGTCTTGTTCGTTTCTTTACAGCTCTGTTCTGTTCGTTATTTTCGCTTCTTCTCCTGTTCTTGGAAAAGCTGCGAGGACGATTCGGTAATAACTCACTCACCCTGAGGGCAAAGGGGGATTAATAGAAGAGAAAGGGTTCACTTTACGATGATTTCACAATATACAACACCTATAGATAGCAGTAGTTTTCATTCATACCTAACAAGCACACAAGTCATATCGAGCTTTACTTAACTGTAATCGCGACATTCAAACATGAGGTATCGATCTATGAACATTCGGCTGGCTAAAAATACTCGTCAACGCACCACCTCAAAAGCAGTTCATAATGATAACAGCAAAAAATAGACACCGAATCAGCAATTACCGTGGAAAATAGCTCACGTCATACCGTAGCATGCTATTTCCTTCGCAGTGGGGCGACCCTCGTTCAAAAATAAGACCTGTCATGTCGAGTCGTGTCATGAGGCTGGCTGCTTGAGCATGTGCGTCGGTGCGTTGTAGCTTAGATAGTCGACGTGCACAAAGGCCCTGTCTACGATGGGCACTGACTCGAGGAAATAGGTCAGCACCTCGCTCAGGTCGTGGCTGTCCTTGAGCGGCGTGTTGGCCGAGAGCACAATGTCCACCTCCACGAAGAGCTTATCGCCCACGTGGTACGCACGCAGGTTCTGAATCTGGCGGATGGCCGTGGCGAAGCGCATCGTGAGGTAAAGGAGGAGGTTGCGCTCGTCGGGCTGGGCGGAGAAGCCCGTGAGGTTGCGGATGTGCTGAGCTGAGGTGCGGCTCCAGATGAAGATGACAAAGAGAGAGAGCAAGAGACCGCCGGAAGCGTCGAGCCACCAGATGTGGCCATAGAAGCCCACTGGCGAGTGGAGATTCCGTTTGTTAGCAAAAGGCGTCAAATACGGAGTAGAATGAGAGAGAAGAGGCCTGATGGACCTACCCAAAGGAAACAGAATGGAGCCAATGTTAAATATGACATCCGTCATCGCATCATCGGCTCTGTTGAGAAAGATAGGGGGTCAGCCTGCATACTAATGGGCAATTGGCGGCAAATAACCGAGGGGCCACCCACAAGGCGCGGACGCTCGAGTTCTTGACGAGACGACACCACAGCCAGCAGCCGCCCTTGATGACAATCGTCGAGATCATGATGATGATGGCCGGCATGCTCAGTTGGAGAACTTTGTGCTCAGGCCCAGCAAGCCGCTGGATACATTGCAGGCTAACCTGGCAAAAGGAGGTTATCATGATGACCGAGAAGACCAGGACTCCCAGAGGTTCCAGCCTAGGGTTTTCAGGTGATTAGTGAGGAAACATCTTCTCAGAATCCGCAACGTATAGCAAAACGCAAGCCTACCGTGACCGCCCAACGGGGTAATTGTGTTGATCCCTCTGGCTTGACGAGATCAGCCTTGTAGTGGTCCAGACGATGGCAGTACTCAGCAAGTCCAGAACTGCGTCTACCAGAGCCGCAAGAACGGACATGGAGGGAACAGAGATGATGACGGCAATCTTGCCTGCCAGGAGGATGATGTTTGCAACGAGGTTGATCCATATGGCCAGTGTCACAATAGGGTCGTCATGGTCTAGGTCGCCGTCCTCCAGCCACGGCAGATTCGGCCGCGGTCCAGCTTCCTTGGGCAAAATAACCAGCTCGGGGGTCTGCGGTCGCGAGTGTGGCTCATTCTCTTCATCGCCCTGGTGTTGTAGTAGGGGCAGATTTTCGGAAGAGCGGAAAATGTCTTTGGGTGTTCGCCTTTGGGGGTGTGCCGGCGCCTTGAGCGTAGAGGATGAGCTACTACTTTTCCCACTGGTGATGTTGTTGACCGAGCCGTATGAGCCGGCAACTTGGTCGAGATGTGACGGCGTCTGGTAGGATGCTTGTGGCGTCTCTTCGGCAATGGTATCAGGGACATCGACAGGTTTGAAAGCCGAGGCCTCGAGCTCGTCCGCATACTCGTTCAATAGCTCATGGGGGATGGACGAGTCGAGAAGGCAGTCGATGTACATGTACTGCTGTATCAGGGAATTCGTTCTCTGGTAGTATTCACGTCTTCAAGACGGGACAAGAGTCAGCTCATCGGCTCTACACTTCCGTCGGGGACACTCGGGCAGTCTTTACATGGGCTTTTTCATGGCACTGAGCTGCTCTTCCGTCTTCCAATACCGTTCCCAGCGATATCGCGGGTTGCTTCTCCCGATGAGCTTCAAGCTCCGCGCTTGCGGGCCAAGGAGGATCCGTGACAACCGGTGCTCGTCTCTCAGAAGCCTCTCGATGTCTTCATCTTCATTGCGCATCCACGAGTTTCGCATGGAGCCCGCCTCCTCGTCCTCTACATGATGACGCGGTGCCGCAGAGGGTGGCCGTAGACTCGACAGGCTTTGCTGAGATCGGGTCCGTATCAGAGAGGTCAGGGTATTTGTCCTTGTGTGCAGAGAAGAATGGTAGAGGCCTTCGCCATGGGTAAGCCAAGGCCGGTCCGGCGAGGTCATCTTTGCAGACGCTCTGCAGCAACCAGTACGTTTGGATCAATTGGGCGCCCAAGTAGAGAGACGAGATGGGCAACAGTAAGGAACCGACGCATCCCCAGGTCAATCCGCAAGATGACGTAGCGCGAAAATCTTGTTCGATCGCGGCTCAATCACCAACAAGCTAATAAGAACAACTCTGCCGCGTACCTAGCGCGAGGTCAAGGTGCGCGAGGCGTCAGCTAGCAGAAGACTGACTTTGCCATATCCAACCGCGATGGGTCGCCGGCTGGGTATTAGATGGCTTGCCCATTACGAGATGCTAGTCAAACAAGCTCCCGAGTCTTAGAAGAGCGGCCTCGTTCGTCGCTTCGCCACTTGCCCAGGCACACACAAGGCTAGATGTATGAACCGAGGACGAGCGCGACGACGCATGTCCGCGAACGATGGACAATGGCAGAGCCGATGCTGGTGGTCTAGAACTGCCTGGAAACCGCCGCGGCAAAGCTGGCGGCTCGTCGGAGAATAAGTCCGGGCGAAGAAAACTGCAGCGCCGGAGACGCACAGCGGCGGAGGTCGGCCTAGCGCACGATTAGAGCTTCGAACCCATGCTTCCATCGATCCGCTCAGGAGAATGCAGCTCCAGTCCGGACGTGATCTGAGAAGAGCCATCACCATGCTTGAGCTACATGCCCGCTGCAGCATAGCAGTCAGATAGTAGAACAGAATCAACTGCTGGAGAGGAGCCCAAGCCCGGGCAGTTCATTCCGGGAGAACTCGATACCCCTTGTCGTTGAGAGCTGTACGGATCCGCCCAAAGAGGTGCCGTGCCCGCCCCTATATTGAGAAGCTTCTTGGCGAGAGTGTCTTGGAAACAAATGAGGCGCTGGCTTGTCTCGTGTCGCTCCGTGTGGTCTATTCCAGGCCGGGAGAGAAGGGTGGAAGCGGCTTGGCGTGTACTGCCCAAGTACCTGATAACAACGGAATGCTGGAAATGATGATGCATCATGGCATTGGCCGGCTGCTGATATGGCAGCAAGACGCCGGAGCATGTGAAGTCAAGCCGGGGAACAGCTCCGATCCCGGGTTGTTCATGGTTTTGGCTTCTTTGACCACACATGGTGGTGATTGCTGATGTCGTGCTGACAAAGCGATGTCTTGTTTTGCTTGCGTGGATGGCAGGAGCAACCAAGTCGCTGCTGAATTTATCGGCAGGAGCGCAGTAGACAGTCGATTGTAGGTAGTTTCCGGTTCTTGCCTACCTACGATGAGACTCCTCACCACCACCTCTTCTTTTTTTTTTCTTTCTTTCTTGCTTCTCTAATACCACAGAGTTCCCCCCATCGCCTCATCATCAACCACACAAACTGACAATCTTCATCAGCTTTCTCGGCTGGCCAAATTGAGTTCTCGATGCATCACTCTTGATGGTTTTTGACTTTCCATCATGCCATCCTGTGACGTCCGTTCCTGGATCCCGGGTAGGCCGTTCCTGGAAAAGGGCCAACGCAGTCAACGGAGGTACCTCGAGCAGCTGTGCGACGTGGGACGAAGAGGTACGAAGTGCCAACAGCCACACGCGAGGCGTCGAACCTTGAGCCCCCCGCATGCATCCATCCAGGATTGCGCGGCCCACCGAAAACTCTGGTCTCTGGCCTCCACAGAGTTATCAAGCACCTGGGTATTACGTATCGACTAGGCCTCATCCAGGCGCGTGCTGCTCATGACGATGTGCGTTCAACTGAGAAAGTACGGATACATGATGCCATTGATATCTCACCACCGCATGAACAGGCCGGTCAACGTCGATGCGAGCCCTGTCACAAGCACTAGATCCTCTCCTGACAACACCGAGGGTGGACTACGATGGAGCCAGCATACGAGGAGAATTTTTTTTTTTCTTATAGCTCGCGGCCGGCATCAGCATCGCCGGCCTTGGTGCCTCCAGCTGGTTGGTGGGCCTGCTCAATGGCAACTCCAGTTGGTTTGCTGAGGTACCTTGGGTACCTGGCTGGAAAGCAGATGTCGTCGTCCGCAACCAAAGCTTTTCAAAAGGCGACTGTGGAGGTGGAACCTTTCCCACAAAAAGTCTCGCACACAGTTTGCGTGGAAAAAGCTTGTTGGTGCCGATCGTACTCCGAAGAGCTGATGATCTCTCGCCCTCCCTGAAGATCAACAGTGCCGATGGTCAAAGTCTGCCAGCCACGACACGTTCACGCTATGAGTACCTACGATGGCAAGATGGAGATGTGCAAATGCGTGGCATGCACTCGGGCGACGCCGCCAGCCCTTGGCACTGGTCTGTTCGAGGATCAGAGCCCTGTGCCCCGTATTGCATCACAAATCCTACTCCTTTGGACGAACGTTGCTATTACCGGTGCCCGTCTCACACGGAGCGAAAATAGGGCAGCTACTGTTGTGCGAGAGTTGCAGCGAGGGCTGCTCTGTGCGAGTACGTACTTGCAAAGTACCCGGCAAGGAGGGATGAGACAGACCTTGTCATCGAGATAATGATGGAAAATATTCGACGATGCTGGGCCTGCAGTGGACCGTTGCGCCAGGTCGGAACCGGCGGGCGCATCTATTAGGCGTACCTGGCCCTGCTGTGCGCAATTATGGTAATACAGCTGAAGACATGATAGTTGCTCCATCCAAAGGCCCGTCGACTTTGCTTTCAACGCCTGCTAGGGAGCGCGCTAGCCAGTGGCGACCAGTTACCCCTGGACCGTGTGCTGAGGAGCGAGCTGAGTGTTAACACGCCATTCCACGCAAAGCGGCAACAATTGATCGATTTTGACAGCAGCCTGCACGTTTACTTCCCGTTGGCTGCGCGGCCTTGCAGCCCCAATCGCCCTATCCACTTGCTGGGTCATCCTGGGCAATGGCCGAGAGCGCAGCATGCCCACCTTTGGATGGAAGTAACCAGTGCCAGAGAAGACCGCGAGGAGGGGAAAGAACAACAACATACATATGGACAGGGCTCTCCGGACTTTGTTTTCCTGAGCCATGCCACAGTGCCTGCATTCCAATCAGGACGCAGCTCATTGCCCTCCCAAGAATCAATGCCTGGAAGCACTCCGGACTACTCCGTGCTATCATTCCGAGTGTATCAAGCACGCCACTATGCTCGCCGACTGCAACCAATGCCAAACAGCTCTTTTTCTCGGCAGCAGGCCATGAAGATGGGACAGCGCACCCTAACGCCATCACTGAAAGTCAAATCTCTTGCGCCTACTAACCTAGGTATGCATGCATGTACGAAGGCTCCAGTCAAATACTACTCCGTGCGCAGGTCTGCGAAGCATGTGCATGCGCAACAAAACGGTGCGAGCTCAAGAACAACCTTCACTGCAGCTCCACACGAGCTGATGAGGTCGTCATACCCAGCATCGACGTCTAGCTGACGGCCTGGTCCGAGAAAGACGCCCTTTCGATGCCGGCGAGTCCTGTGGTTGCTCTACTACACGGAGTTCGGAGTCGCACATGGGCGCGGGCACCCAACCTCCCAAGGGCCTCTTGGCACAGCTTGATACCACAAATAAACACCAGCTACCTACCAAGCGATGGATACCAGCCGGATGGATTCTTCTCGTACGAAATATGGACACTTCTCGTACCTCAGCCATTCCGCGTCCCCACCCGTGATAACCGCCCGCTAACTGGACTAAGCCCCAGCCTCCACACTGTTGCCGCCCGGGCTGATGGTACAGGCACTCGTATCTGAAGGGAGCCGAGGACGGCAGCAGGAGCAGGATGCTGGAACTGCAAAGCAGATGCATACGAGCCGGCGCCGGTACTTGGGGTTGCGTCTCTGTGATTGTTGCCCTCTGCTTGTCTCTCCGTGTAATTATCATGTGTCCGCGAGGTCGTCAATGCTCGGTGTTCGTTCCACTGCGGTCTGAACCCCCGGGCAATTTCCCACCACACCTGTCGCAGCCGGAACCCAACCACACCACCTGATTCGCATCCAGTCTTTCCTATCCTCCACCGCAATGGCTAGCGAGAAGAGGCGCCTGGATCCTCCGTGTGCAGACAGGGGAGCCAGAAGGGGACAGCAGCGAGGCAGGGATAGGGGCGGGCTACCTGAGCACTGAGCTCCGTCTCTTGTTGGCCTGGCCTCATTCGCACCCATGGCTTACGAGATCGGCCTAACAGACGCAGCCCAGGCTTTGCCGGCCGACAGGGGACCGAGTCTGATGGATGGTGGGTGAATGGGGATGGGATGGATGGACGAACTAGCCAGTCCAGTCAATAGCCGGCACACACGCATCTTAACGCCTGGCCGTCCGTCGCTCTCCTGAAGTTTGCACTCCTTTTCTCTTCTTCTCTCAACCCCTTCTTGTCGTCCGCTGTCTTGTTCCTGCCGCTCTCTTCATTGCCTACCAACGTCGAATTCGAGGCTCTGGGTGCGTCCTCCTCAGCGACAGCCTGGATTTGTATTGCATTGTCTCTCATCAGCCCAAGAACACGCCCGTTTGGCTCATTTCTCCCCCTCGTTGAACAGCTGCCTCGGCTGCTTCGCTCGTTCTTGTCCGGCTTCCACTTCTTTCTGGGCTTTTCTTCATCGGATCGGCATACCTTTCGCTCATCGCGCCGGCCCCTGGCCTCTGTTTACTGTTTGTTTGGCATCAACGACTGCCGCTTTCCATCGACGTTTTTTTTTTCTTTCACCGTCTTCACTGTATCTTACTTTGTATCTGTGGTTTCCATCGTTGTTTGTCTGCTGTTGACCTTCGGCCTTGTCACCTCGTATCTTTCTTTGGGTTATCTCTTTAATCTCCTTGCCCGCCTCCTATTCATTGCTTTTTGCTTCCAATTTTGGGTTCACGCCCGGAATCACGACCTCGGAGCCCTGCGCGCTTACATTATTGCGCTGTCAATCCCGAGATTAATGTGAGTCTCGCGCTTCTCTCTGCTAGCCTTGCGCATGCCGGACGCTCCCGGCCAACCACCCGGTCGTGTCTCACCCCGAAATACCTGCCCACCGCCAGGCCGGCTTACCTACAAGGAGGAGCCTTGTCCAGACTTTTCCTCCCCAAATCAAAGTCAAAGTCGATTCACTGCCGCCCTGTCACACTCGCGACTCGACCTCACTGACAAATACCGGGAGACGAAAACTGGAAACGACATGCGTTAGACGGGCATTTGCTAATGTTGAATATCTCTCTATGCAGCCATCCGTGGAGCTCTGTGTCGCCCAACAAGTTTGACGCGATTACAGCTGACAGCCACTCAGACGATCTGTTATTCGTCGCATCCGTCCATTTATCACCGGACCTCGTATCGCCAGGGTTCTAAGCCTGCTGACCCGTTGCCACCCCTCAGCGACCGGAAAATTAATTGGGCACCGTCGGAAAAAATCACCGTCGAGCTGCAGGATAGGAGGTGCTTCCAAAATCTGCTCTAGAAGCTTCTTCACTCGTCGTCTTCATGCCTAGATTCTCAGTTGCCTTCGCCCGGCGGAAAAGCACCGCAGACGAAATCGATCATGCCGAGGTAGCGCCAGCTGGACAGTCTTCGTTTAGGGTTTTGGAACGACACGACTATTCGGGTGTCAAGTCGTTTGACGGAGGGGCCAAGATGGCGAGAGCCTCGGGGCCTCTGCTCTCGAAGCCTGATCTCCAGGCTGACGACAACATGTTTTCTGATATGAAGGCTAATCGGTGAGTCTCAAGCCCCATGGCCTGCTTGTATGGACCTCTCCCCATCATGTGCTAGATGAAAGGGACCTGGGCGGTGACGAGAGTCGTTTGCGACCCTGTTCAGCTCATGTTCGAGATGCCTGACCGTTGGAAACGTTCGACTGTTTGGCGTTCGGTGCGCTAACTGCATCGTCAAGTGGAAGCGGCTTGTCCAACACGACACACACCACGTCTACCGACACCTCTTCACGCCACAGTAATGCATCCACGGCTCCGTCGTCAGCCGACTTCAGCGGCGGCAACTTGTTCCACGACGACGGCCGGCCACCCAAGAGCTCCTCCTCGGATATGCATGGTCGTGGCAGCTCGAACAAGTCCATCGGATCCAAGTTTCTAGACAAAGCTGGCCGTACTTTCTCCTTTGGTGGACAGAAGAAGTACACTATTCCCCCGCCGCTGGAGGACCCTCCCGTGCCGGACCTGCGGCCGCCGATGCCCATCATGGCCGATTCGGGACGATCTGGATCTAGAGGTACGACTACATACGCGCAGGCCCCAACCGTCCCAACCATCCCAGCCGTCCCCAAAGTTCCATCCGCCCCAACCATCACCCGCAAACCAGCCCCCCGCAGACCCGAAGTTCTGGACGTAGGTAGTGACTTTGGATCAATGTTCTCAGGATCAGCTTTCGAAAAGCGAGCAAGCATGGCTACGCTCAAGAACGACGACCTGGCCTCGCCCCGGCTCCTCACAGGCAACCCCCAGGCCCAACAACCGATCCCGCACAGCCCGGATACGACGACGCAGGCGGAGCCGTTGCTCGGCTCGTGGAACACAGCACAGTCCAAGGTCGTTGTAGATGATTATTCATCGGACAAGAGCTCGCCGACATACGACAGCCCTCCGCGGGTTCCCAACCATTCATCTCCTCGATATCAGTCGCCGCCCCGACAAGCACCCGCCAGGTCGTCCCCTCCGGTCGAGCAACCGCCGGCTCACCAGGCACCGCCGAGTCCAGACGAGTCACCAGATGACGAGGATGCACAGCTCCTGGCAGAAACGTACACTGCCATCCAGCTTCTTTCGGCTGAGGATGACGAATTCGACGACAACCCGCAGCAGGGTCGGTACCGGCGGGAGGAGGATAACTTCACGGTGGCTCCACGACAGCCTAAGCCAGCCCCCAACTCCAATGGCACCCGAAACGGAGACGGCGCGCCTCGTCGATTTGTGCCCTCGCAGGACGGCGCGCCTCGAAACAAGGTTATGACTCCGGCCGAATTCGAGAAGTACCGTGAAGATAAGATTCGCCATGATAGGACAAACAGCACGTCGAAGGACGATGACGAGGATGACATCAATTACGAAGACGACGAGGACGAGGCTGAGAAATCGAAGCAGCAGGCGAAGCAGAGGCGGAAGCAGGAGGCTCACATGGCTGTATACCGCCAGCAGATGATGAAGGTTACGGGCGAAACTAACCCAACAAACGGACTGGGCATTCCTGCTTCGTTGAGTGCACCGCAGCTTGGTCACGTCAGGACCTCTTCGCTTGATCCAGCAGCAGCACCACCGCCCCAAAGCGCGAACGCCAATGCCGTGTCCGGTGCATCTGGCGCATCCGATGAGGCTGACGACGACGAAGAGATTCCGCTCGCCATCTTGCAGGCACACGGATTTCCCAACAAGAACCGACCGCCGACCCGGCTCAGCATGATGGGCTCAAACCCCAACATCCGAGCCTCTGCAATGCTTGCCCCGGGACGGCCGTCTTCAGCCATGGGAGAATCTGCTGCTGCTTCCCGACGCCACTCCACTCTCCCCGCCTTTGCTAGGAACCTGCCCCAGGATCCCTTCATCGGAGCAAGCATTGCGCAGCCGGCACTTAGGGAGTCCCTGTCCTTCAACGAGATGGGTATGGGCCCTAAGCCACCGTCGCCCTTGCCCCCTGGAGGCCTCGTTGGTGTGATTGCCAGCGAGGAGCGACAGAGGGCGATGCGACGAGGAAGCCCCAGTGTTGATCCCTCGAGGCTCATGGGTAGTGGCTACAACACCCCCCCTGGAATGGACCCCATGACCGGCGTCCCCCCCAACATGATGTATCCCCAAGCTCAGATGGGAGGCGGAATGCCCGGCATGATGCCCGGCATGGTGCAGCCGCCGATGCAGCCGCCGATGCTCACTCCTGGCGATCAAGCTCAGCTCCAGATGACGCAGCAAATGTCGCAGTTCATGCAGATGCAGATGCAGTTTATGCAACTGATGGCTGCAAATCAGAACGGCGGCATGCCACAGCAGCAGGTGCCGTTCCAGCAACCGTTTGGCGGTCTGATGGGTAACCAGTCAATGGTCGATCTCTCCTCCCGTAACTCTGTTGTTGGCGAGCAGACTCTGGAACCTCGCCGTGGTGACTACGGCAGCATGCGAACGATGAGCATGGTGCAGCCCAGCTCGGCGCCGATGGCCCATCCCGGATATGCGGGATCTATCCGGTCATCCATTCATGGATATACCCCGTCGATTGCACCTTCGGAGCGAAGCAACATCGGCCTGCCCAACCGTTACAGGCCGGTGTCCCAGGCCATCAACCATGGCCCTCTTGGCCACATGCAGTCGCAGTCGTTCTCCGGAGCTCTGTCTGCTTTCACTGACAACAAGAACAAGACGTCAATGAGAATTGTGAGCAAGTCGGTTTCCGACGATGATGACGATGAAGAGGGTTGGGAGGCGATGAAGAACAAGAGAGAGAAGAAGAGGTCTCTCTGGAGAAGCAAGAAGAATCTGAGCTCGGTCATCTGAGCAGGTGATGTCACATACCGACCATGGCGTGTCTCTCCGCCCCCTCTCCTTTGTCTTATGCTCCAAGCGAAGAGTCAATGTGTATGGATGAAGTTTTTGGCGTGCGTCTGTCTGTGGTACGAGCATACACTTGTGCGAGTGCGAGGGCAAGTGGGCGTGCGAGCGAGTGTGGTGTGCGTATGTCCACGTGCGTGTGCTTCATTCGCCCTTGTTGTGTTGTCAGGGGGGGAAAAGGCCGAGCACGAGGTCGATGATATGATTTGGGATGTTTTTTTTTTTTATCCTGAACTTGGGCCTCCCCTGACACCGCTCCGTCCAGAAGTATACGTGGTCCTTTATATGAACCAGCGCAACGTGATTGAAAAGAGGAAAAATAATTGTCTTTCGAGGTTAGATGTTTTGTATTTTTGGGGACGCCCGCTGAGGCGTCAAATGGTTGGATCATTCGTCTGGACATCTTTGCGTCACGCATGATAGAGATGGCTCTACGCCGTAATTTGAATAATTTATCTGCAGTGGCTCTCTTTCGAGCAAACATCTTTCGTATTGCTTTCTTCTGTGTGTGCGTGAGGCGTGAAAAAGACAATAGCCGCTAACTCCTTGGAACCCAATGACGATAAAGGCTGGTTGAGAAAGGCTATCAGGACGGTCATCGTGGAATTAAGCCCGTCGATTCATTCCAAAGCGGCTTTGCAGCCCTCATGACGGAGATGACGAGGTATCGAGCCTACAAGCCCGGTGACTGCATGTGTCAGAGTCCTGGGAGCTGGCAATTGGCTCTCAATGGGCCGCTTTCCTCCATGGTTATTTGTTCTTCATATTTTACTTCCTTATGCTATTACGCTATGCAACTCTAGTAGCCCATCTTAGCCCTGAATCTTGCCCGTCGCCCACTCATTCTTCTTGACGCCCATCTCCACAGCCGCCAGGCCCCAGTCCTCGCCGTGATTGTGGCCCTTGCCGGCGGCGCTGGTGCTGATGCCCGCGCGGGACTTGGCCTGCTCGTCGTCGAGCACCGTCAGGACACCAAAGATGACGGGGATACCAATGTCAAGCTGGACGCGCATGAGGCCCTGGGAGACGGCGTCGGCGATGTACTCGAAGTGCATGGTCTCGCCCTTGATGAGGACGCCGACGGCGATGATGGCGTCAAAGGGGCCGCTGGAGTTTGCGCCGGTGGAGAGAGCGGTTAGGTCGCTGGTTGAGGCGCCGAGGAGGTCGGTGGCTGAGGGGGCGCCGGAGGCATTGGACTGGATTTGCGACGCCGAGAAGAGCCTTTGGGAAAGTGAATGATAGTGTCAGCAAAACGGTTATCCGAGGTGAGGGAGGGGGAGGGGAGGGAAAAGAGAGGGGAGGGGTTTAGCTCATACCGCTGAACAGCAATGGGGAGCTCCCAGGAGCCGGGGCAGGACTGGATGACAATGTTGGACTCCTTGACGCCGGCCTCGAGCAGCTTGGCCTTTGCGCCGGCGACCAGAGGGTCGATAATGGTTGAGTTCCAGCGGGCGTGGACGATGCCGATGCGGAGGCTGGAGCCGTCGTGGTGCTGAGGAGCCGGGCCCTTGAGGGAAGACATGGTATCTGCTATGGCTGGTTTATTGGGGGAGAAAGAGATGCTGGATTGATGTGACGAGAGCGATGGTGATATCCAAGAGTGCTGATGCCGAGAATGAAGAGGATAATTGATGTCGAAATCAAGAGCCGAGAGGACGAGACTAACATGCGACGAAAGCTTCAAGGGACCTTTGCGGACAAAGCTGACTGATCTTCTGATGCTTGCGGCGGGGCAGCAGCGACAGGCACAAGGCGGAAGCGGAATGGCGGCAGCAGCGGGGTTGAGTTGAAGAAAGTCGCTGGTACCGAGTACCTAATACTTGTACTGCATCACACCTTACCTTGCATGATTGGGGGGAGCTGGAAGCTGCAAGTGGGTGCGGGAAAACGTCATTTCTGCTGCTGCAGGAACTGAGTCGTCGGCAGGTGACACTAACGTATGACCTCGGAGGGAGGTCGCGTTGAAGCGGCGCGATTATGAAGCAGCTACCAATACTTACGGTATCGTGCGGGTCATTTGCGGGACCCTCTTTCCATGTGTGCTGCTTGTGTTACCAACAGGCTGCATTTGCGTACCGGCGACTTCCTGCGCACTTGGAGCTTGGACTTGACAGGAGGTGGCAGGATATCGCAGCTTCCTTTGCCCTCACACTCAGCTGATTCGCTCCTCAGTGTCGGAAGGAGAGATTGATCAAGTCTTGAGGAAATACAAGATGGGCAGGAGACAGATGGTCAAGCAATGGAAGGAGTGGCCTCGATGGAGATGGTGCAATGGCTGCGACTCTTCATTTCCAACCGCGATATCGTGAGATTTTCCGAGGGATAACACCATTCATTGTGTAGCTTATTCCTTGCTTCATTATCCAGATCAACCACATCTGCCAACTCAAGTATGCTGCCTTAGTCCATCTTCACAATGCCAATATCAGCTCTCCCTCAGTCGACCGTACGCCTTCTTGGCTCCTCAGTCATCATCAACACCCCCTGCGACGTGGTTAAGGAGCTTCTCGACAATGCCATTGACGCTGGAGCCAGCTTCGTGGAGATCTCAATCTCATCCAATTATCTCGATACCATCAGAGTCCGAGATGATGGCCGCGGAATCGATGTTGACGACTTCGGCTCTCTTGGCCGGCAAGCTCACACCAGCAAGCTGACCTCCTTTGAAGAGCTCGGAGTGGTAGCCAGAGAGACACTAGGGTTTCGAGGCGAGGCCCTTGCGGCTATCAATACGCTCGGCTCCGTCACTGTCACCACCCGAACGATGAATGATGTTGTGGCATCTCGATTGCAACTCAAGGCTGCCGTTGGAGGCGTTGACAACAGACAACCAGTATCAGCACCCGTCGGTACAACTGTTCAGGTCGCCAAGCTTTTCGAGAACATGCCTCCAAGAAAGCAATATTTGTTGAAGTATAGTGCCAAATACATACAATCTACCAAGGATCTCCTCAAAGGGTACGCATTTGCCCGACCCGACGTCAGACTGTCATTCAAGGTACTCGGAGAGGCCACAAGTTGCTGGTCATACGCTCCGACTTGCGCTGCTGGAGCCAAGGAGGCCGCTCTCCAGATGTTTGGCGCTGCCTTGGCGAACAGTTGCATTCATGTGTCTCGCAATTCAGGTTGTGATCAGGCGACATCTACCTATAGCCATCAACGGACATCAGAAGTGTTTATTCTTGAAGCTCTCATACCAAAACCCAGTTTCGATGTCCAAGCAATCAAAGGAAAAGGGATTTATCTATCTGTTGACTCGAGGCCAATCTCATCCAGCCGTGGCCTTGGTAAGAGGATCACGAGCATTCTCAAGGCAGCCCTGAACCGAGTTGCTGGCTCTGGAGAGTTGTTTGCCAGCATACCCACCCCTTTCATGCAGCTCAATATCCGGTGCCCACCTTACAGCTACGATGCGAATGTGACGCCACTGAAAGATGATGTTTTGTTTGCAAATGAGAACAACATCATTGCCTGTTTCGAAGGAATGTGCCAGAAGACATATCCCCAGACTTCCATCGAGGATCCCTTCTTGACCCAGAGACCCGTGGACCATCGAAGTGATGCCGGGGCAGTCACAAGTGGTATGTTTGGCAGGAGAAAGAACGTACGCAGCCGTGCATGGCGACTGACCAGAACTCAGATATCCAAGCTCCAGACAGTCCCTCGAGCAGTCGTCTCTTGGACACCACGGATCAGGCGACTGCGCATAATGAGCCATCTCACAACGACCCAACAACTGACCAAGATGGCGCGTCTTCTTTGTTGCCCACAGAACCCTGTGCACAAGATGCAAAGTCACTGGTGGCAATGAGGACTTCAAGGACTGTGAACATGGCTCGTACCGACAGCAACTCTACTGATGAGGAAGGCACTGCCAACAGCCTTGATATACAAGTGCCCCTCTCGCTCATGAATGCTACACCTGTTCCTGCTCAACGAGCCAATGTCAGCTCGCGCATTCCCAGAAAATGTGCGTCGGAAAATATTGAAAGATATCTCCTCTCGCGTAAGAACGACGCCTTCCAAATTGCCACAGATGAAACGGCAACCAAGAGAAGTCAGCATCCGCCCACCTCGACTGAAGGTGTCTCTGGCCGTATGCCTTTACAGCCGTTGACCGAGTCCATGCTGAATGCACTGAACAACCAAGCAGATTCGGAATCTGATACGATGAGTGCTGAATCTGAAATATCGGATCCGACTCACGGAGCACACAGGTTTCAACGGCCGCCTCTCGGTCTACTTCCTCGCCATTCTGAGCCTGGACACTTGGACCATGTTGCATCCCCTTCCCGCACCAGGATGCCTACGGACTGGCCAACACCTCCTTCGTCTGGAAATCTTCGAAACGGGAGACACCTGAACTCTCCGTTCATGCCTCCTACGAGGGCGCCCCAGAGAGATAGCCCAACCGGAAATCATGCATCTGCGCCTTCACAGTCACGGCTAAGAGCCCCAGAGAATCGTAGAGTGATACCATTCCGTTTACCTGGGCAGAACCGCATCCAGCGGCACGTGGCACATGAGCGGCCAGGTCAACGAGTGGGCTCGCGAGCTACCGCTTATTCTACCGCCGAAGAGGCTTATTCTCGACCAGATGCCCAAAGAGTACAAGGGAACCGCCAGAGAGACATTACGAACCGAACCATGATGCAGGTCTCTGAACTAGCTTCGCGGTCGCAAACCCGACAACATGTTTCACAGCTGCATCCTTCGTTGCAGGCACCAGGCCCACAGTCTCGCATGGTGCAAACAAGCTTGATGAATAGTCTATCCTCCGGTGTCACTTCACCAACGCCAGATACCGCTCAGTATGGCTTGAGTGCCGGCAACGGTGTCTTGCGAACTTGGACGCCTGACGTCTTTGGTGATACGCAGCGGGATATTGCATCACCCGCTAGGGTGATGAGCAGTATGGAGGATTCGAGACTCTACCTTATCAAGCGGCGACGCTCACAAGCGAGGCATGGCATTGCGAGGCGACTTTCTACTCGTCGGCTTCCCTTGGAGGTGATCCCTCCCCAATTGACGGTACAGAATGCTTCGACCTCTCTCAGGGCTTCCCTGCGAAAGGTCAAGTCCTTGGCCAGGCGCGCCCGATTGGTGGGATACGATGTCGTGCCAGGTCACTGGGGCCAGGGAATCGAGTTCGAAAGCATGGAGGAAGCTGACAAGGTGGAAAAGGGCCTTCAGCACGCAGTGGAAGCGTGGAAGCATACTCAGGATCAGGACCTTGATGTGGAATACACGCTACGCTCGGCAGCCAAAGGCAAGGGTGTCTGCATCTGACTGTATCAAGGGTCGATGTTCGAAATCGGAATCATCTGTTGAAATTTGTGTATCTTTGCTGACGTGAAAAGTATGGGCATCTCAAATGGAAGAAGAGTTTCTCGTACCATCTAGAGGTAGTCAAAATCACATGTCCAATTGATGTATGCTTCTAGAGCAAAGCTAGAAGGCCATTGGGTATACACTTTTGACGTGGTTGGTTCCGCTATGCCAATTTGCTCTCTTACTTACCGCTAACAGCGAAAGGTATGGCCGGCAGATCCGGGAGATGGTTTGCCCAAGAGAAGCATGGAATTGTTTCGTGGCGTAGACGTCATGGATGATTTGGCATCCGATGGAAGAAAGTGGATATGGTACGGAGTCAACACGACGATGCCGGACCGGCAATGCAGCTTGCTGGGGAGCTTACAGGGGTGTTTGCGTCTCCGACATCTCTTGCAGTATGGATACGAAGTACGGAGCATCCGCACGAAGCGTTTTTTCGGCATGACTAGAGAGATACTCGTACCAACAAGCATAACAAATCGACTCGTTCGAGAGCACGACTCACGATAGGTGACTGTTCTCGCAGATTATGTCTTGATCAAGTCTATGTTTCCGCCTGCCTGGTTCCTGATGCCTTCTTGGCTTCGTATAAATGGAGTACATGCAGCGCAGTATTACGAGGCTTCCAGATTTCGATGAATTCTAGAGGACGATCTTTGCGAGGGTCAGGGCTTGTGTGCATGGTGCATACCGCACCTACCTAGCAAGTACCGTTACATGGATTCCATGCTACGGAGAGGCGAGTGTACCTAGGGCTCGTATACGCGGATTGCGCTCTTCTTCTTTGTGCTTTGTAGGATTGATTGATGTTTGTCGATGTGATAGTCGTGGAGAGCTTGAAGATGAACGTTGGACGAACAATACTTGAGTTTTGGGATTCTGAAGCACTCGTTCACAGTCATTGCAAGTGCACAGAAGCCAGCCCGTACTTTTTACACACTCAGAGATACCTACTGACGCGCACATTGTCCAATCATAAGCGACAAAAGGGGGGTTCGACTTGACAAGGGTGGCTTAAGCACCGGCGTCCTTGCTTGGGGACTTTGGTTTATAAATAGGCACAATGAGTGAGCTGGGAATGGCTGGAGACCTTGACGTTGACCCTAGGATAAAAGTCGACTAGGCGGGAGGGGAGCCCCCGGCGCCGGGCTTTGGGGCTGGGAGGCACTTCGTATTTGGACATTTGAAGGGTGTCTGCTGATGGAGCGGGTATATAAGGTAAGAATCGAGGTGGTTGGAAGAGCTGTGGCGGTGATGGGCTGTTTTGGGGAGTTTGGGGATGTTGAGCTGTGTTTGCTGTATAATCTGATAAGATGCTATATGAGTCGGTATAAAAGTATCATATCTTGTGGGGGGTTCCGCGGAAGGCAATTAGATATCAGGGTAATGCACCCGTGCCAACGTCACCAACCCTGCCTACTCTTCACCATGAGGCTTGCTCTCAAGTATCGAGCAGCTACTGCGGGTTCAGCTTCATGTTACCTGCACCATAATAGGAACTCGTATTCAGCCTAGTAAAGCAGTGTCGAAAGCGGGAAACGCCTGCTTGGAGTGGGAGAATGGAAGAACAGATATCGAGGCAGAAGCGAGAGAGGAGAGAAGGATCGTGGCCCTAGTACCAAGAGGTGTTGATGCCCGAGAGTCGCTTGCAACTTGACAATTGCTAGCACCTCCGTAGCTTTATCTGGCTTAAGCACTCCCGGTCTGCAGCAGGCTTGCGATCTTTCTCTGCATGAAGGATTTTCCTTGGAAGTGGCTAGCCGAAATCGCAACTCAGGATGCTGGTGAGCCAAGTTGGGATGGATGATTGGCACCTCCCCCTTTTTCCATGGGGGACAAGCAGGCAGGCACTTTTACGAAGGATGTACAGAAGATGCGTGCAGCTGGCCTTGATACCTAGGTAGGTAGATTGGGTGATGGGTTTACGAACACAGGAGGGCAGTAAGAGCACCGTTGCATATAGGAGTTAAGTAGCTGAGCCGTCAGCAGGATCTGTATTTATGCTGTCTGCCGTTATAATTTGTAAGATTACTATATTTGGGAAATCCTATAATTAAAGCACTCTCTTTATCAGATCAACAAAGCATACCTTAGATACTTGTGTAGCACAGCGTCTGAGCCAGATGTCGCGCATTGCGACCCCCATGAAGCCATCGTGAAGACTGCATGCACGATGAAGTCAACGGGCTACTGATTGAAAGTACAACTGCCCCTTGTACCGGTACAAGCGGGAGCTCGTAACTGGGGACATGGAACGGGTCGTTTCAGGCCGAGGGCGCCACAGCAGGTTGCACTGCCACTTGCACTTGTAGGTATGCTCCGGCCGGCGGGCGCCTCTTTGGGAGATGCGTGTTGACGTTTCTGTACCGCTACTCGTACGAGATGCTGGATGTAACCTCGTGTTGCTTAGTGACGCGGGACATGAATACCTACATGGAGATAGGCACTCTAGCTTCAGATAATTGTCAGACATTATGTACAGAAACAGGACAGGGTTTCATGAGCCGCCGAGCAAGTTCGATATAGAGTATGAGACATTTGGAAAGATGGCTTGGAATTCGCTGTAGGGCTGTTGAGGCCGATCATTAGGTCGGAGATGCCTCTATATTTTGCTACCTACGTGTAGGTACCTAGGCAAAGAACCGAGCTCCAACAGCTTCCCAGTGACGTTGGCAAAGCCAAGTATACCTACTGCCTACTAGTAGGTACCCGACTTTCAACTGGATGTTATGAGGTACTTGACCACCTTCAGCGTAGCAGGCCAGCAAGCTCAAGGCGACACCCGCGCCTGTGCTTGCGCCTGTACTTGTGCCTGTACTTGCATCACCTCGCCCGCTGTCGCTTGAGCTCCAGCGGCCAGAGAGCCCCGGAAAGGCCCCCCCCCCCAAGTCCCCAGACAGGGCCCCGATTAGAGCACTCGCAGCTCGAGACACTGCCACTCTTGCCGCTCCACCCCAGCTCTGGCCATCGTCTGCGCCGTCCAACACGCAGTCCGTGCCGTTTTTTTTTCTTCCTCTGGGCTGCCCTTTTCTCTCTCCATCTGCGCAATCATCGAATCCCTTCCGTAACGCCTCACGGTTTCTAACCTCCAGTCCCTCGTTTGTCTTTTCCTGCTTCGCCCTTGCACTCGCTCGCACAGCCCTTTGCGCTCGCCTCTTTTCCGCCCCAACCGTCATTCTTCCCCTGATTTCTGCTGCTGTGCCGCTGAAGATGCGCGACGTCTGAATGACAGCCTGCAGAGATGGCCCCCTGGCTCTCGATGCCCACGATGCATCTGTCTGGTCGCCGTAGTTGCGACAGCACCCGAAGCAGCCACCACGACGCCTCCTTCTGCGGCCGGCATGAGTCGCGCACACTGTCTCCGGCCTCAGTCAAGGGCCGCCATATTTCAGCCTCGACGCAGGTAGCCGTGGGCTCTTGTTCGGCGCTCGAGGTGCAGCAATCCGTGGAGGGGAGCACCCAACAAGGCTGCGTCATCCGGGCGCGAACGACCAGGTGCGGCAATCCGAGCAGCAGCAACGATAGCTCAAGCAACATCCGATTCAGCAATCGCGGCCGCATCTCCGCCTGGGCCGCGAGGCCGGCATGGCTCGTCTTCACCCTGCTCGCCCTCGTCTTCGTCGCGACACCGGCCGCCGCCGTCCAGATCGAGTTCGACAACTGCCTCCCCGACTCGTACCGCCTGCACAAGCCGCCGCTGCTGCAGTGGCAGCCGCTTTATGTCGACGCCGTCTTCGACACCAAGACGCCCAACAACAATCTGCAGGTCATTGTCTGGGGCAACGTCACGGGCTCGCAGAACCTGAGTCCGCTCCCGCCTCCGAACGACCCGTACTGGACCAATCCCGACGACACCAACGGCAAGATCGAGCAGACGCCCTACGTCGATACTCTTGCCACCACGCTGGTCCGGAGAGTCAATGTCTTGACGTACGAGCCGTGGAACGACCGCTCCAACTTCTGCACGGAGAGCCTCGTCAATGGGACTTGTCCCTTGGCGCCTACCTTTGGCAATGTGTAAGTCGACCCGTCGTCTCATCGTCATGTCATGTCATATCATCGCCATCACCCCTCTCTTGAACCGCCGCCGCCGCCACCACCACCATCTGTGCTGTTACTTGGGCTTTCTGCTGCAATACAACAGGGGCTTGGCCATCTTCATTTTGCCAGAGCTGTGTTATGTATCATCTTGATAATTTTGCAGACATTCTTGACTAACATGAGTTTTCATCGTGTAGTGACCTCCCGTATGGGCTTCCGTCGGTCAATCTAAGTCACGACTTCTTCTCCTCATATGCGTTCAGCTCATTCGCCGTCACCTTTCTCGTCATCAATGGCGATCAGGCAGCAACAAACATTGGCTGTGTCTCTGCCACCATTACCCCTGATCTGGGCAGCATCTCCTGGGTGCTCAAGTTCATGCCCCTTCTGGTCCTGCTGTTTGCTGGCTTCGCAGTTCCTTTTGCTGGGATCTGGAGCCCCTGGGGCACCACCAACGTGTTCCATTGGACGGCCAACTATGGCCGAGACGCTGACCTGCTGCGACTGGTCACTCCTGGTTTCAGCGACTGTCTGCAGTACATTCAATTCATCGTTCTGACGGGCGCCCTGACCCTCGATTACCCCGGATTCTTCCAGCCCGTAGTGAGCCAGGTCGGGTGGTCATCGCTCATGTTCAACGAGAGCTTCGTTGCCCACGCCGATCCCTGGCAGAACGTGGAGGACGGCATCTATGTGACCAAGGCAGGCACCGTCTTCGGACTGCAGAAGATGGCTCAGCTCATTGGCATGTCTGAGGCTGAAGATGTGTGGCCGGGTATGATGGTGTGGCTCTGTGTCATCATTGCCTCCGTCATTGTTCTCATCCAGGTTGGCTTTGCTCTTCAGTGGATCTTCCGCAAGATCAGGAAAACTACCGAGGAGGACCTGCGGGCAAAGAATATCCCATTTGTCATTGGCAACGTGGTGCGCATCGTCTTCAATTTCATGCTGGTCCCCATTGTGGCTCTGTCATGCTTCCAATTCGTCGTCTCCGGCCAGTCGCCGGGCTGGACCGTTGCCTTGGCTGCGCTGACACTGGCCGTAGTCATTGGCTTTGCGGCTTATCTGCTGTGGCTCATCATCATCACGCGCCCCAAGTCGGTGCTGTTTGATGACCTGCCCACGGTTCTGCGCTACGGACCCCTATACAATACATACGCCGACGAGGTCGCTGCCTTTGCGCTTATCCCGATCCTGCTCAACGTCATCAGAGGCGTTGCCATTGGCGCAGTGCAGCCGAGCGGCGTTGCCCAGGTTGTGCTTTTGGCCATCTGTGAGGTCATTCAGATCATCATGATTTACGCCTTTCGACCATATCAGAAGGCCACCTCGATGAACATTTACCACAGCCTGTTTGCAGGTCTGCGATTGATCATCATCATCCTCATGGTCACCTTTGTGCCTAGCTTGGGCGTTACCGAAGGCCCAAAGGGCTGGATAGGCTATGCCATTCTGCTGCTGCATGCTTGCGTGCTCGCCCTGGGCTTCTTCCTTGGCGCTGTGCAGACCATTATTGAAGTCATTGCGAGATTGTTCGGTGCCGGTGGAGACGATGTCACCGGCTTGACCCGTGGTGGCCTGTCCAAAATCTTCGGCATGAGGCAGCTCTCAAGGAGAGTCAACCACCGCCAGGGACCGTCCCGGGCCAGCCAGCTGTCTACCGCCGCCATGCTGGATGCCGAGGATAGCGGCAAATCTGGCTTTGTGATGCCAAGTGGTAGAGTCCGCAGCGGCTCCGTGGCTAGCCTCAGCGGCGTCATGGCCCACCATCGACATCGGAGCAGCTCCGCTCTTGATAGCATGTATTCAGCCGCACAACGGAACGTCGACACCGCGAGTTCATACGTCCCGGGAACACCGGGCGAAGCCAGCACATTCTCGTTCCTCGCATCACCCTCTGCCGCTCGCCAGGGTCCGCCTGGACTTGTGGTAGAAGCCTCTGACCCGTACTATCGCCCTCCGCGGCGGCGTCGTGAGATGACTGGCGATTCAAGCCAGCTCGACAGCCGGCGTGACTCGCTCACTATTGAGCCTGTCGCCCAGGCCGGAGGATTAGCCCCTGAAGCTCCTGACTCTGGGGCCGAGATTTCACGAGGGGCCACCCCAGCACCCGGCCATGGCGGCAACAACCTTTCCATCAGCTTTCCCGCGAATCGACCCGACTACTCAACCCGCGAGGTTGACTTTTACTATGGCGTTCGAGGCCCAGCGTTGAACTCGGAAGGCCCCGGCAGGAAGCTCGGCACTGGCCCTGCAGATCCCACTGGACCGGCCGCGACCGCTGCTGGATGGTTACGCAGCCTGCTCTTTGGCGGTAAAACTAAGGAGAAGGGCAAAGGCTTCGAAGTTGTCAGAAGTGCGAGGATGCCGCCGAACATGGTTCGAAACGGAGGTTTCGGAGACGAGACGCCGCCCGAGGGCATCCCAGTGGCCATGGGAGTCATTCGAAATGGACCCATCGACTCTGATGATGACGACGAGCCTCAGATCCGCAGACCGAAGCGTCGGGAAGGCGAGCTGCTTGACAACAACGGCGACCCGCAGTCGGAGTCTGACAACGGCGAGCCCGATAGCCCCGTTACGGATCGGCTCCCTCGCGGGCGGATGTCTCAGTCTGCCGTCGCTTTGAGTTCAAAGAAGGCAGAGGCCTCGCAAGACGGGGTGGATAGTGAAGGTGTGAGCGATGAGGACATGTCTGACGCTGATAATGATGCGCCCGTCATTCCGCGGAAGAGTTCCAAGAGACACTCGGCCGTGCTCGATCGCACCGCCCAGATCACGCCCCTTGTCCGAATAGATTCTCAGACGAGGCGTCCTGAAAGCCGAGCATCCCAGCAAACAGCGCAAACCGAGTCGACCCTCCAGCAAGGCGGTGTATCACTGCTGCCACGCCTCCCATTTGAGCGGAGAGGCTCAGACAGGCGGTCAGACCAACGGCCGCCTTCGAAGTCGTCGCTCGACTTCCCTGATCTGAGAAGCATAGACTCGGCAACGCAGGATGATCCTGCCGGATTTGGAACCGTTTCCCACCACAGCATCAGCCGCATTGACCCCCATCATGTGGATGATGACATGCTGAGCACTGCCGCGTCTGTCGTGGATGATACGCACTCCGCGAAAGACGTTTGATTCAGCAGAGCCACTACGGGCAGCGTTCTGAAGAGAAGAACACCAATGGCAAGAAGATGAGATGAACAGCGAAAGGAAGCCAATCGGCTGCAACGCCATTACCGGCACGAAACTGAGATTCTCTTCGCTTCAGCAAGCTTGAGCGTGTTTGGTGACGCTTTTAACATCTTCGTCTTACCCGACTGCTGATTCTTCTTGGCTGATTTCCTGTCTTCCATCGTGGGCCTTTTACTAATCCGATCCGTCGGGATTTCCCTATCTGTATAGAGTCACCTGGACATGTCCCAGCAAGCAACACGAATGCATAGTGGGAAAGGGGTGACGTGACTAATTTCTTTTTTTTTTTTTGTTTTCCTCTCAATTTTCTTTGTCAAGGGTTTTCAAGGTTGATACATAAAATTTTCCCCCTTCTTATTTTCCAGGAGCTGATCCAGGGGGAACAAGGGGAGGCTTTACGGTAGCTGGCGTTTTGATCATTTCCGACCCCCCCTTCATTTGCACAAGTGCTGCATGGAGAAGGCGGACTGGGTCTTGATATATGTTTTCGGGATCAAAGGATGGGCTGTTGGGATGTTTGGGCATGTAGTGACGTGTTTGGTGTGTAGCAGGAGGAGAAATTTACGAACATCACTTGAAGATTTTGATTGGCCTTTGTGAGGGGAGGAAGTGTTGGGAGGTTATGTAAGTACCAAAACGTGTAAGTCCTAATTGGAGATGTAATCCGGCCAGCCTTTACATGTTTGACATGGCCTTGTCTGAGCTTTTGTGTTGGTAATACCTTATGGGATGACTGTGCTTGTCGAAGAGGCCACGAAATGGTAGCTGTTATCTTTGTTTCTCATACAGAATCACGATTCAAGGTAATTGATTGCCTCCACGCTTGAAGAAACACGCAATGGTGAACAATTGTTACGAAACGAATAAGGAGGAATTGCCATCATGGGGGTATAGCAGCAACATCAACAATAAAACAACAGGAAACAGATGTGTAGCTAGCTAGGTACTCTAGTATATACAAAAAGGGGCAAAAGGAACTCATGAATGCAGTGAAAGAAAAAAACCCTAGCGCATCAAGGGCAGCCAAATCTCTCGTCTTTGCAAGCAAAAGAAGCTTCCCAGTCTATCAGAGCTTGCAGAAAAAGCCCCCCTTAACCCTCTCTATATATATAATGAAAGAGACATGGAAGAAGATTCGTCAAGTTTTGTCGTCTGGGACCAAGCGCATCATGATCGTTTATACACCAGTGAATTAGAAAAAAAAAAAAAAGAAGAAAAAAAAGAAAAGGGAAAAAAAAGGAAAGCCAAGCGATGTGGCATGCTTTTCTTCTTATTCTTATTCTTCTCCTTCTTCGTCTTCATCTTCTCCATTCTTCTATTTCACGCCTAGGAAACCCACGCCCGCCCTCGCCTTCTGGACAGCCCTCTTGAGGGCCTGCTCCTCCACGTCGGTCCACTTGACGCTGAGCTCGTCCCACTTCTTGCCGGGGGTGTTGTACTCCCTGCGCCACTGGGCGTGCACCTGCTGCAGCTGGGCCATGCGGCGCGGGTCGCCGGAGCCGCTGTAGACGATGAAGGCCGTGCACGGCGGGAGGGCGGCGTGGATGCGGACGAGGCGCTCCGTCAGGCGGGCAAGGGCCTTTTCCAAGGGAGACGACGACGACGACGACGAGTCTGCAGAGTCGGCGTCTTCAAGGGCGTCCAGGTCCATGTCGGGCATGTTCTTGTTCCACCATCCCTGGATGGCTTCCAGCTCGCGCATGCGGCCCCAGACAAAGTCCACGCCGCCGGCCTTGATGACGGAGCCGTCCTCGTCGCCGAGGACGGCGCGGATGACGTTGCTCGTCACGTCCTCGTCGGACCTGCAGCCCAGCTGGTGCGTGGCTCCCGCGCCGAGGCCCTTGGACGGGTCGCCCCAGTCGACGGCGGCGCTCGTCTTGCCGACCTCAACGCCGCCCAGGGCCGCGTCGCCCCCCTGCGCCTTGTACGCCGTGCCGGCGCGGGCCAGCCTGCGGAACAGGTTCTCCCCCTGCGAGTCCGATGCGCCCCAGAGCTTGCCCTTTTCGCACTTTTGCTTGACCAGGTCCAGGCAGGTCTTGGCGTCCTCGATGCTGTTGTGGCCCAGGGCGCCGCCTTTTTGGATCTCACGGGAGAGGTATTTCTGAGCGAGCCATTTCAGGGATGATTTGAGAGGGGCTCCACGGGGATGGGGGTATATGATGGAGGTGTCGACGATGAAGGGGTGGGCGAGCTGGATGGCCTTGGTGTCGGATTCCAGGGAGTGGCCCACGAGGATGGTGCGCGGATGCAGGATGTCAAGGAGCTTCTTCTGTATGTCGCGAAGCGTGGTCGTCACGGGTGCCAGCATCTCCTCTGTGATGCCAGAAAACCGCGTAACGTAGTCGATGATGGGCTTGTCGGGTTTCACGAGTTCGTCCAGCACCACGTTGCCGTCCCAGTCGACTAGGCTGATGCGGGTCAGGGAGAACTCGCTCTCGCCCGTCATGCACATTTCGCAGTCAAGCGCCAGCACCTCTCGGCCGGCCGTGATGCTGCCCTGTTCGATCTCGGCCTCGGGGACATTGCCGTCCTCGAGCTTGTCCACCCTGGTGATGACCCATCCGTCCGGGGCGACAAAGTCGTCTCGTCGCTGCCCCTCCGGGAGAAGAGCCGGATGTATCAGGTAGCCGTTCTCCGTCAGCTCCTCGGCAGAGGCAAGGAACTCGGTGATGCGCGTCCGCTCGTTCTTCCATCCCTGGGGCTCCCTCGCGGGCTTGACGCCTCCCTTTTGTGACGTCTTCTCCTTGGGTGGCGGCGCGGTGAGGAACGTGGCCAGCGGGGAGTTGAGCTTTCCGTGCTTTTCGTCGCCGGGCGTCTTGACGGGCCACAGATGGGGGAACATGTCGGCGAAAGGCTTCAGCGGCTCCGGCAGAGCGTCCTTGTCCAGCTTTCGAGGGTAGTAGTCGTCCGGGGACTTGGCTGCAAAGATATTTCCGTCCTCGTCGCCATCCACATACGCATCCCTCAGCTCGTTAAACGCGGCATAGTCGACGCCCTCCTTGAAGAGCGCCTCCTCTAGACCGGGCACCATGATGGCGACAATCTTCCTGAACTGCGGCCGGTGCATGACGTTGATCCAGCTGGGGGCGGCGCCGTCGGCAAAGATGTAGGTGATGACGTCTCGCAGGCCATTGAGGTTGAGCATGGACTGCAGCCGCGCGCCGGAGGAGAAGCTGAGGGCCGGGTAGTTTCCCTTGCCCGGGCGAGGCATCTTCTTGGCCTTCTTCCTCGCGTGGGAGACGGTCTGCCACTCTGCCTGGTTGTTGTCCATCTTGTCGTCTGTGTCATGGGGGCTGCATCTCTTGAGGGTGCCCTCGCTCTGGTTGAGGGAGGCGGCGTCGACGGTATTTGTACCTGCGTCCTCGATGGTGGCGTCGGCCATGGTCGGATGTTATTCTCGGAGTCTTTGGCGACGGAGGCCAGAAAGGTAACGATCTCGGGGAGATTTGATTAGCTCTTAGACAGAGGTTATACCCACACTGGCTGAGCACGTCCGTATATCGGTAGAAGCCCAAGTGAAAGTGGCTGCTGCTTGGCTTGGATGGCTGAGAAAACAACAGGTGTAGCCGAAACACACAGTTGAGAGACGAGATCCGGCCTCGCTAAGGAGATGGCAGAAGACAAAGGGCCCGAAAGGGCAAAAGTAAGAAAATGAAGTCTAAGTCTGAACTTCACCGGCCAGCGCCATCCGCGATGATTTAGCCACAATCCACACTGCTGGGCGCCAAAAAAAAAAAAAAAAAAAAAAAAAGAAGCTGATTGTTGGGAGATGATGTTTTATCGTTGTTAGGCTGACGCTCAAGGTCCTGAATTTCTCGAGAATTAGCATGGAATTCCTTATCTTATCGCAGCCGCCAGGGACGCTTCGAAGTCAGCCAATCACAGGCCATCTTCAGCGCCCCCCGGATTCGGTTCGCTGCAGCCTCGCGGTTCCTTCAACGCGACTCCAGACCGAATTTGGCTGCTCAGGTGAACCGCTCATCTTTCATCCAGTCTCTCATTGAGAGCTTTTGTCAAGTGATACGCTGGCGATATCATCTCTCTTTCGTCAATGCAATATTGATTTGCTGCTCATGCCTTGCTTGTATCACTGAGCCGCAAACCTGGTAGAATCTAAAACTCCGCAGCCAATGCATCGCATCCCGTAAACATACACATCGCCTCCCTTCACTTTCACATCTTTCACTCAAAGCCGCAGAATCATGGACCTTGTCGCCGTGAGATGTGCCAAATGCGACTCAACGCTGGGCACCCTCGTCAATCTCTGGACGCAGATTGGCAAAAAGTACATCACCCCTGTGGCGTACGTGGAGGACAAGGCCGAGGCGGACAAGATTGCTGCCACGGGTGCTGTTCGAACTGGCGATGTGGGCACTCTTGTTGAGGGCTGGTATGGACATCCCCTACCGTATCATGTTATCATGCTGCTCTGTAAATCACACCACTAATGATATGAGATGCCTACGAAATAGTGAGCTCCGAGATGCCGAGTGCTCAGCGTGCCATACAAACATTGGGCAAAAGTGCTTGACCAGTCCTTCAAACCACATCTTCACCAGGCAAGCAAGCACCCCTTCTCCAACAAAGATGTCTCATTGAGCTCATGCTAAAGAAAACGCAGTGGCCAAATCATCTTCCGCATCGCTTCCATCGTCCTCAAGCCAGCCAAGGACCTCCGTCGCAAAGCCGAGCCCAAGATCCAGCGCATCCTCCAGCTCAGGGGCCAACCGGCAACAACTCAACCCACGCCCTCCTCACCCCTCAACGGCAAGGCTAATCCCCACCCTCAAAATGGCGAGCCACCTCCAAGTCGAGCCAGCTTCGACATCATCCAGATCCAAGCAGACCTCGAAGCCCAGCAAGATGAAATCCAGCGCATCGGCGCCGCCGGCTTCCAAGTAATGTCCGCCTTCGACAGCACAGTAGCCCGCTTCGAAAAGCAGATGCGCCAACTCAGCGAATCCGTCGCAAACGTCCGCCGCGAAGGCGAAGGGCAGCAAGCAGACATCAAGTCCCTCAAGACGCAAATGAGCGATGCGAAATGGAGCAGCGACGGCGACGCCGTGGTGGCTCGTCTGGATCAGCAGCTCCAGACGACGGACAGGGTCGTCACGGAGCTCCGGCAAATCATCAAAAAGTCGCAAACAGAAACAAACCATCTCCGAAATGAATTATCGGCCGCGCAAAAGGAGATTGCAGAGGTGAAGAGGGCGAATGCCCGTCTGAAAAAGGACGCGGATGAAGCGAAGCAGGTCGCACAGGAGGGCGTTGCCACGTCCAAGATGTATGCTTCAGAGGTGGCTTCGTTGAGGCGAGAGATGGCACAGCTGCGGTCTGAACTTGTTGCGCAGCAGCAGGACATGCGCCATTCTTCGGTGGATGAAGATCCGTCTATTTCGTCTCATCAGCTGGATATCCTCGCCAGCAACATCTCCAAGATTGGCAACAGGGCCAGCCAGGTAGAGTCGCTGCAGATGGAGTTTGACCTCTTCCGGACCCGGATACAGCGGCTGGAAGCTCGGGTGGCTGGCGGCACGCCGAATCCCAATCGAAAGGATATCCGAGCCTCTTATGCAGAGTACGACAACGGTTCGGCGGCTGAAGGCAGTCAGTCCCACTACGGATCGACCACGCGCAACAAGAAAAGGCCACCGTTGACGAGAGAGGACAGCCATATCGTGAACTCGACTCCTCCCAAACGGGTGGCCATCTCGTCAGGTTATCCCACCCTTGGCGCCGCTGCCTACGACGAACAGCAACAATCGTCACCTGGGACAATGGCCCTGGTCGAGACTCCAGTTCAACGGCGGACGGCGGCAGCATCGTCAAACAAGAGCACTGCAAGGCGTGGCAGATGGGCAAAAGCTTGAATCAATGTGCTTTCCAGAGGATGAGTCTACTTCCAGCTGCCTTGACGAGCCTCGGCAGCGTACCAGACGCAACCCTGCAATATGGTCACCAGCAACACGTAGATGACTGTGTTCAAGACTCGAAATCCCGTCTCAAGACTTTCTTGCCTAGGCCAGCCAAGGCATCCACTTGCTTCACGACAGCAAACTCAAAAAAGGCCTGAGACTTTTCGCTGCTAGGATCCCGTCGCCACTCGTCAATGAGAGATGTCTCCTTCTCTCTACCCGCCAGCTTCTCAATGTCATCCAGAAGCGCCCGGGCTCTGACAGCTAGGCCGATCTCCGTGCCGTATTCATCTGGTGTGTACCGAAGAATCATAATAAGCAGCATCTGGCACAGCGATGCCTGATCAATTTCTCGCAGCGTCTCCTCAATCTCCTGCTCCAAGGTCGCCTTGTTGGAAACGGGCACAGCCGAACTTGTCTGGGAAGCCGTTGCTGCGGCGGTGTTGGAAAGCAGGTTGGCAACTGTGAACAAGCCGGCGAGTCGAATGGGATGGTAAGGCGAGGGATACTGATACGGATCGCAAGCCGTCGCGACGAGACAAGCCACAGCCAGGGCAAAGGCGTAGTTTTCCTCCTCGCTGTAAAGCATGGATATTCTATACAGAATGTCGGGCAGCGGCGTGACGGCCCAGAGCTCTTCTTCCACTAGAGCCTTCTTCTTGATAAACTCGCTCTTCAATAGCTTGCGCCGCTCCGACAGCGACTCGATCACGGCCAACGCGTCCACTATATGCTCCACCGACTCGCTGTGCTGATTGACAATGGCCTGCTTGGCGGCGCTACTGGTTGCAGGATGATTGCGAAGTTTTGATACATCTGGCACGAGACTCTGGCTGTTGAGGTTGACGCAGGGGGAGATGGCTGCGACCTGATAGACGTTGAGATTATCCCGGCAACGAAGACATTGGCATGTAAACTTATAGTGAGCCAGTGCTTCTCTGCGTTTGGGCAGAGGATCTGTGTAGACTACAGGACGACGCATTTTGCGTTAATATCGCGAAGACTTATGTGTCAAGTTGATAGTAAAGGGGACACTTACACGTATAAGCGATTTCAATCTCATCGCCAGCCCGGATGGGGTTCTCGGCGATGAGGAGGGCGTTTCGCCCGATGAACTGGACTGATGCATTCGGGATGCAGGAGTGATTGGCCATGGCTAGAGTAGGTTCGAGATAGAGTCCGGCAACGCCCAGTTCGGAATCAAACCTCTGGAAAGAATTGTTCTGAATCTATCACACATTGTCAGTTAGCATCCACCGCCTCCCAATATCAAGTAACAGTCCTGAAGCCAAACAAACCTTGCAAAGCATCTCAGCCGCCATCCGCACATCCTGGTCACCCCTGCCCAACCCCGAGAACGCACAGCCCGCCACGGCCATCATCTCGATATCCCTCCACTCATCCCCCTCCGCCCTCTTCTCCAGCACATGCCCCTCCAGATCCGCCAGCCCGTCCCGAATCTTCCCCCACAGCAGAGCCTGAATCAGAGCCCTCGTCGGCGTCGGCAGCATCCGCCTCCGCTCCTCGTCCCTGATGGTCTTGGTCAGGGCCTTGCACTCGCGCGAATGCACCGCCTTCCATGCGGCTGCCTGGCACGTCGCGTCGCAGTACGCGGCCGCATGGCAGCGCGAGCAGAGACGGGGTTCGCCGGGGCGGAGGCAGTGCGAGCAGACGCTTGTGAGGCAGGCGACGGTGGGAAGCAGGAGGAGGGGAGTGAAGGAGAAGATGACGGCGCCGGGAGGGAAGGATTTGGTTGCGTGGAGGGCGCGGCCTTTGGAGGGGTGTGGACGGATCTCAACGGGTGAAGAAGAAGACATGATGTGTTCGTTTCAAGTCAATTTGTGTGAGGCAGGCATCTGAAGAGAATGGTGGATTTGATGAGGGTGATGAATATTCGGTGAGCCTGTGTTGGATGAGCTGGCGGTAGTTGAAAAGTTGAGGATGGGAGTTGAAGTTTTGGAGGGGCAGAGCGAAAAGGTGGGTTGGCGATGACCGCCATATCAGCAGACACGGAACTTTGACGAAAAGGATAGAAAAGCCCCCGACCTTTGCTTAATGCATGTCCTCAGAGACACAAAAATAGAATCTATAGCCTGAATCAATTGGAAGGGTATCTTTATTTACAGATTACCACATACGGGTAAATCTCCTGCATACACACACATAGGTATATACATATACACACAAGGTAAAACGACAACATGCCATCTACAGCTCGCCATGATCCGGCAACTTGCTGTTCGCCTTGCGCGCATCTCCCAGCCTCTGCTTCAACTCCTTGCTCCACGGCGTCCCATGCAGCTTCACCATCCTGTCCGCATGATAGTCCCAGCATCCGTCATCGAGCGCCGTCTCCGGCGCCGCACACACCCCGTTGTTCGATGCCTTGCCCCTGGGCCACTGGCCAAGCTGGGCGCCCATGTCCTCGTCCAGGAAGGTGTCCAGCACCAGCTGAGCGACTTTCCGCTGCGCTCCCGCCCACTCCGGCTTCTCTTGGCACAGGACCGAGAGGAGCTGCTTCATGCCGCTGTTTTCGAGAAACTGCTTTCGGATGGCGCCGTCCTTGATCAGGCCGTTGATGGCCGAGACGGCGGCCTTGACCTTTGCCGGAGAGTCGGCAACGGAGACGGTGTCTTGGTAGAAACGGTCAGAGATGGTGGCGCCGTCGCGAGGACACGACGAGTCCAGAAGCTCAGGCCAGATCTTGGCTATCTCGGCGAGTGCCGACGGATTGTTGGACAGGGCGCCGGCGAGGATCGCGGCCGCTTGCTGGTCGCGCGGCGTGGCTCCCTCCGAGGCGTCGCCGTCGCGAGCCCCCATCAAGCAGAATAGCGCCTTGACCACGTCCGCGTCCTCTGTGATTTTGAGCCCGTAGTAGATGTCGTGGGAGAGCTCCTCCAGGCCTTCCAGTCCGTTGTCGAACTCCTCGGCGCTTGGCGACTTGCCGGTCTTGAGCATGTTGAACGTCTCTGCAAAAGCAATGGCTTCCGTTTGGGCGTCTCCTTCTTGCGCGGGTTCCTTGATCTTGCCGACATTGTCGTATTTTGGTGCGCCCTTGGGGATCTGGATAATTTCTGGCTGCTCCTGGTCGACGAGAACCACGGCTTGGTCGACGGGCAGGCCATCGAGATCAGGGTTGGCCTCATCGGGGACGTTGATCTTGGCTTCCTTTTGGCCGGTCCAGATGTTGAGACGGACATGGAGGCCGTTTGGGAGTTGCTGGTCGTCGTGGACTGGCTGGAACTCATGCGTTGGTACGAAGACCCGGGGATAGCATTCGTCTGGGTTTGATGTGTGACATATTAAATCTGACTCGTCTGATGCCGCTTGGGGAGAGTGTTGTGATGATGATGACGATGCCGTTGCTGGGGCTGCTAAGCAGAGCAATAGGCCCAAGATGAGGGCAAATATGAGTGCCAGAGGCCTCATCTTTGAGTGAACGGAAGGCATTGCTTTTTGTAGTAGAAATTTGAAGTAGAGAAGGATGGTTCAAAGGGTGCGTTTGCTGAGAGTTGGTATCCAAGATCCGCACTTCGTGGTGTTATATAAAAAGGTACGGAAATTTCAGAGCGGTGATCTTATGGCGTGTACAAGATCATGTATGTAACAACGCTTCCAACCAAATCATCAGCATGTATGAGAGAACGCAGTCTAAAGAATGGAACAAAGATGCAAGAGTCGAGATAAGGAGTGAGTAAACCTCTGTTTAAATGAGTCAACTGGTTGAAAAGGACACATAAGAAGATGCTCGCTAGCTTCTTGTAACAAACGAGCAGTTCTGTCCAACTTGTCAAACTCGCCTGGAGGCGAAATCTCGTACCTGAGATTTGGCGCCATCTCATTGGCGGAGATGCATGACTCAGCGACTAACGTGGAATCCCAAAGAAGCAGTTCTTTTGCCACTCACTTACAGCGCGCCACGACTTGCCAAATGTATAGACACCCATGAATTATCCTCAACGATATATATCTTCTATCATTTGTTACTGCAAGCCATTGTTGGTCAAAGTGTACAAGGCTGTCTTCATGTGGCGGCTGGATGGATGATGAAGATGATTTCCTTGATGACGATGCGTACATCACATTGCTCAATGGGGCTGGGATCCAGTTGGCAAGCTTGTCTTCATGTCCCCAAAGCTATAGACAGTTCACTCTTCTCCAGCCATTCATGTAACAGTTGAAAGGTGATTGAGAACGAGTGCAGGTGAGCAACTTCCTCAATATCACACGATCGTACGGAAAATTCCCTCTTGTACAAATGTCAGGCAGCCAAACGTATCTCCTAGTCAGTGCATGTCCGAATCCGTTTCCGCATCCGTGCGTGTCTAGGAGCTCACCAAGTGCGCTCCCCAGTTGTCTCATGTTTTACGGCCATCCCATCTTGTAACCGTCGAACCTGAATTTAGAACACGAATCATGCGACAAGGTTTGGTATATTGACTGTCCAAGGTCGCATCCGTCATGCGCAGACCAGGAAATTCGCAAAGGTGGCTGGCCTGCAGCTGCGGCAGATGGATATAAACCCAGGTCCCTATGCCCGGCAAGATGGAAGAAATGCTTCTGATTCCGCTCCCTGCCGCGACAGCTCTCCCTTTTGTTCCTGTCGAATTGAGACTTGAAAGCCATACCAAGCATAGACCTGTCAAGCGCAAGAATGCTGTCATTAATTCTCGTCTTCTTCTACCTCTTCTTCGTCGCAGTCTTTGGCGCCCACGCCATGCCAACTGGGTCTCACCACTTCAAGAGACATGAACATCTCCATGCCCGCGTCCACAACCTGCGCCTTTCCCGACTTACAAGCACAAATGCCAATGCGGGCGAGCCTTTACAGAGCCCGAGGAATTGGTCCGAAAATCGGCTCGAGGAGGGTCTCGTCCACTGAACCGGGCAGCACAGGGAGGTAACGGCTTGTAATGAATGGATTGTGTTATAGACCGATGATTGCGGCATGAGGCATACGGCGTTTCTGAACTACGCGGAGCATGGCATGCTATGATATTCTATGGAGTTAAAGACTCAAGTAGACAATATATTGAACAAACAAATATTCTGTGTCAAAATACATACAAGGGCTTCAGTGTATGTATTTGTCTCGTACAACAAGAGCTGCAGTGGCGAAGTGGTACACCCAAGAACTGTATCCGCACTGTCCTCGTTACCTAATGCGGCACAAGAGCATGCCAAAGATGTCTCTCAATCACAAAGGCCAGCTGCATTACATAGAAATCCGCATCCTCGAATCCAGCACCCTCGTCAAGACAGTTGCCGCCTCAAGATATCGCACGGCCCCCAGCCTTCGCCAGTTCGAGCTCCCCAGCAATGCGCTCCAATGAATTGAATGAGTCCCGACTTTCCATCGATTATTAGGCCACTCGTTTCTCGTCCTCCTTTCTCAAAGCTCGACCGTTGATTCTTCTTCTACATCATCGAACTCGTCATAAGTACAGGCACGGTTCGTTTCACGGTACCACGGAGGAGAAACCCGCCGCTCCTGCGACAGAGAACAACTTCGATCCAGGGCAATCGGAAAGGACCATCAACCGCGACCCGAGCAGCACTTTGTCGCTCGCGCTACTCTCTACTCTACCTATACTGAAGATCCGAGCTGCCAGGCAGCGCGCGCCCAGACAGGTTCTTCCTCTGGATGCTGCTCTAGAGCTTGCCAAAAAAAACAACTCCTCCAGCTCTTCGTCCAGCGCATTCCTCGTCCTCGTCCTCGCCATCGCATCGCATCGCATCGCATTGCAGAGCGCGCGCCGCGTCGATTGACCCCACGAATCTCCGGACACGATGCCTTCCCCGCGACGAATGCGCCTCCTCATGGTGGCCGTCGTCCTCACCGTCGTCTTCGTGCTCTTCTACAGCTCGGGCATGGAGCCGGAAACCGACGTCAGCTTCAAGGGCTTCTACGAGAAAACAAAAGAGGCCATGGAGCGCGGGACGGCGCGCGGGCAGCCCGTCATCAACGCCAAGACGGGCGAAAAGGCCGGCCACATACCCGCCGACAGGGACGGCGACGGCGACATTGACGGGGACGACAAGGTGGCCGCGCAGGAGCTCCAGGAGCGGCTGCAGGCCGTTGAGCGGGAGGCAAAGGACAAGGCCAACGAGAAGAGCCCCAAGCCCGACATCCCCAGCCGCATCGTTGGCGTGGGCAGCTCGGCCGAGGGGCAGGTGAAGAAGGGCCAGGTCAAGGCCGGAGGCGAGGTCAAGGAAGAGACCAAGGAAGAGCACGAAGCCGAGGTGGAGATTAACAGCATCTTGAAGAAGTCGCCTGGTACGTCAATCGCAGTGATTTCTGTTCTTTGCATTACCTAGGCACCTATGCTCTCATTGTTGCTAACGTTTTAACGTGTGCGACTACTAGTCATCATCTTCTCCAAGAGCTACTGCCCGTATTCGAAGCGTGCCAAGGGCATCCTCCTGGAAAAGTACACAATCACCCCGGAGCCCTTTGTCGTCGAGCTGGACGAGCACCCGCTCGGCCCCCATCTGCAAGACTATCTCCTCAAGAAGACGGGGCGGAGGACGGTGCCCAACATCTTGGTCAACGGAGTCAGCATTGGCGGTGCCGACGACATTGTTTCGCTGGATAACGAGGACAAGCTCGTGGCCAAGGTGCGCGATCTGGGCCAGGCTCGCGTCGAGATTTCCGAGCGCTTCACCCCTGGCGAGCATCAGTGAGGATGTGTCATGTCAGAGCGGAGCGCCTTGCTTGTGATCCTTTTTGCCTTTCTCTTCTTCCTGTACTCTCACCTTAAACTCGCCTCTCTCGCTTGGATCAAAGCTGAGACTCGTGGCTCGTATCGGCTGGTTGCTTCTCTTTGGGACGTGGGCATCAGGGGCTATCGACTGGTGCGTCGATGCCGGTATGCATGATGGGAGTTTCGGCGTTCAATGGTCCTGTATAAGTAAGCCAGTACCCAGTAGGTACAGATACTGTAATATCGTTACCACAGTTCAGCTGGGGACCGAGGAGAGTGGGACTGCGTGAGCTCCTTGTTTGTCCGGAGAGCAGATGAAGAAGCAAGGCAGCGTCAAGTGAGTCTTGCTGAGCATCTAGCGGGCCTTGACCAAACTGACAGCATCTATAAGTCCAACGAGGTAGGGGTTCTTTCAGGTGAAGTCACAAAATAGATGCGATGAAGGAAAAGAACAAGGACTGAAGACCGTAATCCCGGAATGATGCCTAGCAACTTGAACCAGGTACTAAGTAATAATACCTGGGTAGGTTCGAGAGCCCTTGATTCATAGGCGTACCTTTGATTCGTCCAACTGAAGATACGTGGGAAGCATCACATGTCGCATCTGCTAGCGAGGCATCGTGGCAGTTAAAGAGGGAAAGAACGCAGACATCAACATGCCTTCCTCTCGGGAGGCTCCTCCAGCCAATCAAATTCAGTCAAAATCATCGTGACCATCTTCTTCTTCCTCCTCTTCTTCCTCTTTCCTCCTCTTCCTCATCATCTTCCTCCTTTCTTCTCACTCTTCTCCAGCAAAAAATCATCCATCCTCTTCTCACACCCCCCCTCGCCCTCAATCTCTTGCCTATTTACCCAGAAACAAACCCGTCGCCCCAAAGACGCCACGATGCAGAGTGCCAGCGTCGTCTCTCGTTCTAGGCCCCCGCAGCGGCCATCTGTTATCAAGCATTACTGGCTCTTCCCCCACTAACTGCAGGGATGCGCCGCAGCTGGAGGAGCCTGAGTGGCCAGAGGCCTTGGGGTTATCAACAGCTTGGAGGGGGGGGGATTGAGCCGGGTTCCTGCTGTCTACCTGCCGGATCCTCAGCAGCAACGAGAGATTAGAGAGAGAGACAGCGAGAGAAGTAGTTGGGCCGCCGGCTATACAGCACGGTTGGTGATGTCTGTCTGCTGAATTGCTGGCTATAGCACAGGCATTATCACAATGACGAACGAACGGGGCGGGCCAGACTAACGGACGACAGAGAGCCACGAGTCGAGGGATGGCATCAGTTGCTAGCGTCTTGTGCCACGCGCTTGTCCCATGTGCTAAGCTGCCAGTCCCCGGCCGGTGTGTGAGCGTGAGCCTGAGCAAGAGAACCAGGACGGGAAACTGGGGAAGCGACAGGACGAGAGTGCAAAAGCGTGGGGATGGCCCGGCAAACCGCTTGTGCTGCTGGCTGCCATGCCCGAATCAAAACTGGGCCAGTCTGGCCGGGATTCGAGACCGCAGTGACCACACCATCAACCGCAAGCTGAGCCTACAAGTGCCTACGAGGATTACCTATCTGTTTATCTCGCTCGCACCTCTAGCCCTGTCTTGCTGCTCTTAGTCGTTGCCGGCAGCAAGTTGGGGATTGCAGCAGAATAAGAAGAGCCTGGGCGCGCCACCCCCTCACGCTTCTTTTCTTTCTCTCAATCCAGTCCAATCCAAGCGATTCGCTGCTACGCCTGTGTTTGTTTTCTTATCAACTTTCGTTTGGCGTCTATTCATTGCCCATCGGCTTCCTGTTCCTGCTGTCTTGGGAATCAATTCGGACAATCAGCCAACAAGATCGAGGCGTCCCCCGTCTATTAGTGCTGCCCAAGTGGTCAAGTCTCGTCTTGACCTCGACACACTATAGCGGATTCCTTACCCTCGGTCAAGAGACGGTGGACTCACCGACCAGCCCTCGTGTCCCGAGTCGCATCATCAAGCTGCAAGCTTGCGTCAATTCGGCTGCGAGAGCGCACCCAAGCTAGCCAGTCCGGCCGTTGAGGAAGCATCACACATTTCTGAGGATTCTTTCGCCTCTGCCGTATACGAGAGTGCTCCCATACGTTACATCGCCCGCAGCCATGTCCGACGCCCCCTCCAGCACCGCGTCTGCCTTGCGGCGTCCATCCACCAGCTCCGAGACATCCTCCCTCTCGTCGGCCTCGACCGCCTACACCACCTACAAGGAGAAGGAAGGCAAGCCGTTGCTGGACGTCCACGAGCGCAAAGCAAAGAGGGGTCTGCGCCAGAAGGCTCGGGAGATGGTGCATGACATGGGCAGTCCGCCTACCGCGCGACAGGATGCAAAGGACGGCAAGGTGACGCTCAGTCATGCTCCCTTGGGCGGCCTCATAGGCCAGCCCCTGATGAAGCCGGGCAAAATCTAAGACGTCCAATTGTTGTCGGCTGCTCGATAATATACTGGCTGCTTCTTTATTGGCTGCTCGGAGATGGTCGCTCGGAGAGTCTGTTGCATCGCATCTCAGCGCATGTGCGTGGTACCTCAAAAGAGTAAAATACGATGGGAATGATGTGTGAAAATGGTCTCGGCGTTGGTTTCTTTGACTTGTCTGATGGTTTTGTTGCTTCTGTTTTTTTCTTTTTTTTTGCCTCTTTGCTTACCAGGGATATATCAGCCAGATTAGGGTTGGGAATTTGACGTTGATTTACTCGTAAATTCTTTGTCTCATGAGTCACCAAATGTACCACAGAGAAATGGATGAAAAGCGATGTTTTGAGTTCAGTCAACATCACACGTCGCATAGAAGTTTGCCCTTTGTCTCTGTGTCCTTATCTCTTATAGCCGAGCCATGTTTCTCGCCCATTCCCAGTGTCCACGGCATGGGAGCGATAATGACCCGAATGATTCCCCGAAATGCATAGCCGTAAGTGTCCCACAAAAACCCAAGATGATGATGCGCGTTGTCCAGCATCGCGACTCTATAATGAGCTGGTTGATCCAAGACATGATGTCCGTTCTTCAACTTGATATTCCACCATAAATTAACCCCCTCTTTATGAGTGAATGACAAGATTTTCACAGAAATAAAAGGGAGGCCGTTTCCCTTTGAAAAAAAAAAAAATGCACCCAACGCCTCATACCGTGTCCCCGACCAAGAGTTCCTTTGTAAGAGTGGTATGTATGTTTCCCGTAAATCCTGACTCTCGGAGCTTTGGTTTAGGATATATTTGCTGTGTGTGTGATTGCTGAGATGGGAGATTTCGTTGTGTTGTGTTGATATACCTTGAATTGAAAATGTGGCCGTTGTTCGTTTTCATGGCAGAGAAATTCCGACTTTGATGCCATTGTTTTCCGATTTTGTAGCTCATTGCACCGGAATAGATGTATCGCCGGTGAGAAAGTGCTCAATGGCATCAACACCAACTTGCCTATAATAACCGAAAACCACCCAGTTAGCATTGAAACCTAAAAGAAACCTCCTTACAATAAGAGATCAAGAGAAAAAGGGGGAAAGGGTGAAAACAAAAAAACTCACGTAGTCAGCATCAGCTTCGTAAACTCATCCATGTCGTCCGGCCGCGCATACATCCAAAACTCCTTGAAGCTCAGATCCGTAATGCAGTACTGCGGCTTCTCGCGCCAGGCGCGAAAGAATTCGACCGAGGACGTAGCCTCCCAGAGGTGCCGCGAGGCCGTGAAGCTGTGGCCGTCTTCCCAGAAGTCGGCGGGGGCTGGGTTTTGGTGGTAGCATGCGTCAATTGAGCGGTTCATCACTGGGGAGATTAAGGGGGGATACAAACCTTCTTCGGATTTGAGGACAAAGACGAGACACATGATGGCGAATCCAATCATGATGGTTCGCCTTGTGCATTCGAGCAGGATCCAGCTCTAAACAGAAGAAAAGAGGAGTTAGTTTCTCGATCTTGTAAGAAGATAAGGTGTGTATGATTTAATGCACTCACCTCCCAGCTCTTTGGCGGCTTGTCTCTCGTCATCAAGACCGCCGGCGGGAAGCCCTCCTCCAGCTCGTTCTTGACCACGACCAGGTCCTTGACCCACGCCAGCATCACGCTCATCTCCCTCTCGGCCGCCGCCCGCATGCTCACGTCGCCGTCAAAGATGCGCATCGAGTTGAGCAGCAGCAGCGCCTGCACCCTGGCCAGCCGGTCCGCGTGCGTCGTCGCCCTCTCGCCGTCCCGGTGGACCTCGCGCACCGCGTCCAGCAGCACCTTGAGCGTCCAGCCCCTCGTGGCCGGCGTACGCGTCGAGTAGGCCGAGGCGGCGGCAAAGGCCGTGGTGATGGTCTTGGGCAGCTGCGCCATCCACAGGCGCGGGTGCATGAAGGGCGCCTCGCGCCGCTGGGTGAAGGTGACGTACATGTCCGAGACGCTCTGGACGATGAAGCCGATCTTGCTGCGGGGGTCGTGGACCTGCAGCACGTCGGCCATGATGCACTGATCCTCGTGCTGCAGGACCGAGAGGTCGCGGACGGGCTGCTGCTGCTGCTGCTGCTGCTGCTGCTGTTGCTGCTGTTGTTGAGACTGAGACTGCTGCTCCTGCTCCTGAGACTGCATTGGCTGCTGCGTCTGCGTCTGCAAGGGCGGCACCACGGGCACCGGCGGGAGATCCATCTTGCTGCCGACTCCGAAGCCCGTCAGGTCCCACAGGCTGCCCGGGCCGGTGTCGTCGGCGGCGGTCATCAGGTCCACGATGAAGCCCAGGTCCGGCGTGTGCTGGGGCTGGTGGTGCTGGTGATGGTGGTGGTGCACCTGGGGCTCGCCGCCGAGATGCAGGTTCCCGTCCTGCTGGAGGCTCTCGGGGCTCGTGTTTGTGCCGGTTGCGGTGCTGAGGCTCTCAATGTCGAAGCTCATGTCGAACTCGGGCGGCATCTCGGGCGTGGAGCAGCTGCCGTCGACGGCGGAGGCGCACGACGAGGACACCGTTGCCGTGGAGGAGGCGGAGGCAATGGGCGGAGATGGGTGCTGGTGCTGGTGCTGGTGTTGATGGTGGTGGTGTTGCTGCTGCTGTGACGATAGCCGCTGTTGCGCCTGCGATTGTGAGAGCTGCTGCGACAGCCGCTGAGTCTGAGTCTGAGTCTGAGTCTGGCTCTGCTGAGGAAGAGTCGAGGACGCAGAGGCAGGAGGAGGAGGCTGCCGCTGGTAGACGCAGTCCAGGCCCTTGGTCGCGCATCTCGTGCATCTTGGAGTCCGCTTGTCGCAGCGCCGCTTGCCTCGGACGCAGGCATTGCAGCTCTTCTGGCGCGACGCCGCACCGCCGTCGCCGTTGCCGCGATCCAGCTTGCGCAGGCTGGCGCCGAGGCCGCTGCTGCTGAGGGGGCTCGTGTCTGTGCCTGTGCCTGTGCCGGTGCCGGTGCCGGTGCCGGTGAAGGTGGTGGAATCCATGGGCGGCGAGGGAGGTGAGGAGCCAAAGGTGTAGCTGTGCTGCTGTAGCTGGTCGTACAGCGAGGTCATAGTAGCAGCAGCAGGCTATGTATGTAGGAGGTAGGTACCTATGCACTGTACGAAGTTGTCGTGGCGTGTCTATACGGTTCAATTGGCAACCACGTCGCGATTGAAGAAGAGGAATGATGAGTTGCAGATAGGTAATGATAAGATGATGATGATGATGGTGAAGAAGAAGAAAGAGGAAAGAAGATAGAATGGTCGGAAGGAGAGACAGGGGAGGCTGATTGTATGTGCTCGATCGAATGTCTGCTGATGAAAGGAGTTAAAAGATCACTATCGCCCGCCGGGACGATAAAGATGCCCAAAAACCGAACGCCACAATTTCTTCCTCACTCTCTCTCTCTCTGTCTGTCTTTACCTACCACGCCTTTTCAATCTGACAGTCTTAACCCACTCCATATCATCACGTTTGCCCAAATCCTTCTCTTTTTGATTCTTTTCCAATCCTTTTCCTTCGTCATCATCTACAGAGAACGAAAGCCACGACACGCGTCCCCAGAAGAATTAGGAGGAAATGGTAATATTCACCCACCGTAGAGATGAATTTCGTCCAATCGAAGCTCAAAATGCCCATCCTTCATATAATACAGGCAACTACTACGTACTTGTACGGCATTCATTCATATGAGAAGCCCGAATTGCAGTGACAAACTCCGGCAAGGTCCCCGAAAACCCGGGGCTGGATGATAGTGCTGGAAGGTATAGTAGTAGTTCAATCAAAATCCGCAAGTCCGCTCCGCAAAGTCCGCACACTCATTCGCTATGATACATAAGAACCAACTCCGGCCTCTCTTGTATTTGCTGGAGACAACGGCGATCCCCGTCCCGGCTGACCGTTTTATACTCAAGACGGATTACGGTAGTTCCTAGTCCAGTCCAGTCAACTACTGCGTACTGTAATAATTCGAGTCAGATGAGGACAAAGGCGAGTCATCAGTCAGATACCTAGAGTGGTATCACAGGCACAGCCATATAATATAAGCCGGATGACTCGACAAGCTCGGCAGGGCTGCGCCACCTGAATCGTTCTTCTTTTTGTCTTTTTTGTCTTTTTATCTTTTTATCCTTTGCTCAAGATGCTTGGCAGCAGAGCCTCGTCCCTGCCTTGACGCATCCTGCCGATAGATGGAAGAACAGAGCAAAAATATCGAACGCAGAGAGATGTCCATACTGCGGACGACCAAGATGAGGTCAAGTAACCGCCACCCACTACATACCTCTACAGCCTTGTCCGTGGAGAATTGCACTTATCAAACCTCACAGCACTCGCACGCCGCGAGAGGGCATATGGGATGCAGCATACAGAGAGAGAGTCACCGTCACTTGAACCAGTCCTGCTCAGGAAGCAAAGCAAAGGGCACCTTGCAAGGCCTAGATCAAAACCTCTCATTTTCGGAGTCCCCGCATCATTAACCATTGCTTCTACAGCAATCGTGCGGTTGCTACCTTGCATCGTCATTGGAAATCAACGACCGGCATTGCCAGTCATCCTCCGCCAACGGCCGGCCGCTCTCCAGAGGTAAATTCGCTCCCCAAGCTTGCTTAGCAAATGGGTATATACATCACAATAGCCTCCTCAGAACCAAGCATTTCTTCTCTCCCTTTTGTAGAAACGTTCCGTTGCATGATCCCTTTCCGAAGTCCACCAATCCCTCATCCTGGCAGCCCAGCTGAAAGTAGCTTTTGATTCCGCCGCCGTGTTTGGCACAAGGTAAAAAATCAAACAACGCCTCCGACCATGACCGAATCTGGCGTGGAAACCACAGAACAGTCCAGTACCTATTAAGAAAGAAAAGAGAAGAGACAAGGGAGGAGGAAATGAAAAATGAAAAAAAGGAGGGTGAAAAAATGAGGGGGAAGATATGGGTCAAGAAAGGGAGACGAGTATGACTGCTTCCAAGAAAGCTGTCAACGTCTGCCGCAATTATACAACCATCTTCCAAATCCAGGATTCCAGGAACCTCAATGTGAAAACCAAGATCAGAGTCTAATAAAACAAACTCCCAGTTTCATGCCGAGCCTTCAAATGTCGGTCTGGTGGACCAAGGTCTCTTTTTTTTTTTTTTCTTTATTCTGATTTTCTGCGATTTCGATTCCGATCTTTCATTACTGAGCAAGGCGAACAACAATCGATCCAGGGCATCTAAGCGCGGAGTGGCGGGACGGCATTGGTTCCCCAACGTCGTTGTCCTCCTCCATCATTTAGACTCTCTCCGCATGCTCCGTTGACAATGCGGGTAAGTGTGCATGGCGTAGAAGGCGCATATGAGCACCATCACCATGCCAAGCGTAGGCGACCATTAAGGCGGGGGGTAGTCCGTCGTACCATAGTCCGGCGTAGCATACTCCAGTGCGGCATCTTCTGGTATGGTTTCTTGCAGCATCTGGCGTTGGGCAAGCTCGAATCCCTAGTATCGCTCTTGTCGGTATCCGTTGCTCCGTGGAGCCTCATACTGCACGCCCGTCATGGAGTCAGGGCCGTTCGGGATCCCGTTGCTGATGGACCGGAGAGGCGGCAGCTCAGTTCGAGGCGCGCTCGCATATGGATCAGATGAGTAGGGAGCCGCTTGGCTGGCGTGTCCCGGGGGAGGTGCCTGCTGTCCTTGCTGGCGGTCCATACTGCCCATATACTGGGAGTGCCGCTCCATTTGAATTCCCTGCAGCTCTCGCCGCAACATCTCATTGTCGGCCATGACCGTGTTGATGTGGTTCTGGAGGAGTCGAATGTGCTCACTCTGCTTCTGGTGCTCAGCGATGGCTGGCGATTGCACTATTAGTTTCCATGCACGGACACTAAGAGGGATACGGCGCAAACATTTACGAACCTTTGGTGAGAATCTCCCACTTGGATGCCTTGGATCCGCGCTCCTGCGGCATCAAATCACGCAGCTGATCAAAGAGCTCCTTCATCTCGGTTCTTCGTTTCCGCTCAGCCAGCTTGTGGCTCACTCGCAGCTCAGGGGTTCTGCTGTAGGGCTGCGAGCCCGAGGCCCCATTGGTCTCTTCCGCTTGTAAACCGCTCAACTGCTTGTGAGGAATGGAGTGGTGGTGGACAGGAGGGAAGTCGGATGAGTTCATCCGTGAAAGCTGAGAGCCATCGTCGAATCTGCGCTGACCCGGAGGCAGTCTCGACTCTGTCGTGAATTGACTGCTGGCGATGGACTCAGTGATGCTGCTGCGGCGAGAAACGTCATAGGACGAGTGGTTGTTCGGGAGGTTGTTGCCAGCCCTCTGATTGTCACCTCCGCCTCGAAGATCGTCCTCAGGAAAAGCCCAGGCCTGACCCTTAGTCGGCTCTGCTGCACGGGCGATGAGCCCGGTTGTAGGACCAGTAATCGTAGGAGCGGTTCGCACGACTTTGGCAGGCTCTGGGTTTCGCTCAGCGCTGGGCAGGTATCCATTTGAGATTCGGTGCACAGCGAGGGCCTCAAAGTTGGGCCTGGGGTTACGCTGCTGGTGCAGCGTGTTCTGGATGGAGGATGTGGACTGGTTGTTGCTGGCGTACGGCGAGTTGCCGAGCCGCATATCGCTAAAGTCCCGGCCGATTCTGCTGTCTACGCTCTCACGCCGGCTGCCTGCAATGGAGGCAAGCCCTTCTCCCAGGGTTGCCCCTGAGATGCTGGCCGTGTCTAGCGAAGTTGGTCGGTCGAACCTCCGATCAATGTTGCTGGTTGGGTTGGGAGAGACCATGGAGGCCACGCTCATGTTGCTGGCAGCAGGGGAGACCAAGGCGTGAGGTAGCATGTTGGTAGCGACGGGGGAGGGCGTCTTGTCGACGGACGAGTAGCCAGATCCGGCCGGGCTGAGACCTGCGGTCGTGAACGAAGCTGTAGAGGCGTCTGTTCAGCAAATCGTGAGCAAGTCAGACGGAGGGACAGTCCGGAAAGTCACTCGGGGCAACCTACGCTTGCTTGACGTCTCGTGTGTGGAATAGAATCCAGAATCGCGCAACTGGGGAGCGGCTACAACGGGCGAAGGGGCTCGCTCCTCGCTGTTGAGGATATTGGGGAGTCCCGCCATCTTGTTGGGCAGTATTCGCTGCTGCGACTGCGATTCCATTCTCTCGACAATGTGACTGCGAGCGATCGCGTGGATAGAGTGTGCCTCGACCGTGGAAGGGCGGGTTGCCTGTATGTCGGCGGCTACCTGTGGGTATCCAGCCAAGAGACGAGGGCAGAGGAGGGTGGCGACGGCTGCTCAGGACAGCGGCTGGGCAATGATGCTCGAAAGAACGTTGTGCTGCGAGATCGAGTCGACGGGAAGCCCAATGCTGGCACTCTCACGGCGGTGGGCAAACACGGGTAGGGAATGAATGGACGGGAATGAGGTTGCTTGGCAAGCGAGCGCGAAGCGAAGCTCTCGCTCACTGGAAGAGTCGCGAGCAACACAGACACGAGGGGCTAGGAGAACCTCTGGGCCGTCATGTGAAGCTGCGCCGTGAATAAGAGAGGAAGAATACTATGGTCGGAAGGGCTGAGGAGACTCGCAAGAGCATAAAGTATGAGCTTTGGCATGGATGGTGATGTGGGAGAGAGGAAGAGAAGAAGAAGAGGCAATGGAAGGTCGATGTGAGATTTTGGAATTGGAACTTTTTGGGGGGGAGGATCGGAGAAAAAGGTTGGCATAGGCGAGGTACGCTATACTTGACAATGTAGGGGACGGGCCACAGAAGCACTCGTACCCATCCCCCAGCGCCTCAGGGCGAGACGGCCTGGGAGGTCTCCGCTACCTGTGCCTGGGCCTGTGCCTGTACCGGTACTTGTACCCCCAGGTCCTGAGCATCCACTCGCAGTGCTGGCGTACTTCGTTGTTCTAACTGGCCAGAGGCCCAGATGGGGGAGCAGGGCGGCAGGTAATAGTACATACTAGCAGCAGTAAGGTAAGGTAGGTAACTCGAAGCCGCAGAGGCCCTTCTCCAGAGCCGACGGGACGTCCAAGAGCGCATTGCAGTCGCCTGGCCACCGCTGTCTACTCTGACACAGACGCAGCACGGGGGGGGGACGGGGGGGAGTTGGGGCCATGGACTGGGATACAGACCAGGGCTGGAGCAGGCCGAGCAGGGTCGTCACCAGTGGGTGCCGAGTACAGGTACTTGAGCGCAGTAAGAGCGCGAGTACTCACAACAACGCATGAAAGGTGGCGGCCAGATTGAAGAGAGCACTGAACTCAATGCCACGAGGGACGGCGTGCATACAGTGTGAGCTATATCGAGAAACGACCCCGACCTGATGGGATTCAATGGCGCGAGGTAGCGGTACTTGGCGAACTTGGTACTGCTCCGTGAAATGATAGGCGGGTTGCAAGATGGATGTTGGCAGCTGTGCTACCTGTGCATGCAATCCGCTGTGATACCACTAAAGGTACTACCTCAGTACTGGAGGTATTACTTCTTCTTCCAGGTCAGGCATCGTAATGAAGCATCCAAGCTTTCCACCATCCCAACAGAGATCAAAAGCCATCCACAAGGCCCTCTGCCCTCCACGACAGGGGGGCGGCGAACAGGGCTGCTACCTTGAGGTCGCCCGTCCTGCCACTCGGGGCATGAAGCACTGTTCGAAACGTCCATTGGATTGCACTGTACGGCCACCACAACGAACCTAGAACCCAGACCTCGAGGCTAATATCGCCGAGAATCTGGGGGGAGCCAGCACAGGACGGGTTGCAGACGCAGACCGATTGTGCTCGACGAACTGGAACGGCGGGCGGCAGGAAGGGCAGAGCAGCATCGGGTCTCTGCCACAGTCGCCAGTACCGCATACGAGGAAACGAGCACCTGCTCCTGGATGTGGTGCTACTCCAGACTGGGAGCAGAATTCAATGCAATGCAGGCAACCTGGTGCTACTGCAGCTAGCAGCTAGCAACTCGTGCGCACGAGAAGCCACCATGGACGACAGACAGACGGACCGCTTGGGCGATAGGCACACGCCCCTCAAGCCAGTTGGCCGCAGACGCAGAGACGCAGATTGGCTTTGGATCCTGGCCCCGGTTTGGCCCTCCCTGGGCTTGTGGGCTGACGCGGATGTTCGAATCACGGCCGGGAGCATACCGCCGTTGTCCTCTGCCATCTAGATCTGGCAGCACAACCGGTCGTGTTTGGGGAGCCAGGGGCCGGGAGTGATCTTTGCCTCTCGTCTTTTGACATCTCGTTAATGACCAGTGCAGCACTGAACTTCTCCACGAAGTGTACAGTATGCCTCTTTGCGGCCTCGAGCCTCTTTTACTTTTGGCATCGGTACTGCCTATCTAAGCACCGCCACTGCTCAACCGAGGTCTGTTGTTGAGCACAGCAATTAGACCACGGTGCTTCCGAGATGGCGCAGCTTCCGGTAGGGCTACGAACATAACAGCAAAGAAACAGAGGGCTGAAGCTCGTTCGTGGTAGGGGTTCGCCGGTGAGGCGCCTCGGTTGTGACGGCGGCTTCAGTCCAGTCCGCTCAACGCTCAGCAACAGAGCTGGCGAACATTCTTATCATGGGAGTGCGGTTTGCATAGCTGCACGTTGCTCACAATGCTTGTTACTACATAGTGCCCTCTTGAACCGTGTTTCCCTGCGAAAGCAAGAGCTGAAAAGGCCTTGCAACTTTGTCATCTCCAACCCAGCGCCACCATAGAGCCACCGTCTCTCTTGTCCACAGCCACTAGCCCGGCAGATTTTGGCTGAGAAGCTTGACAGCAAACCCGGGATCCAAGAGATTAGCACGGCGGTCAGTACATACCTAGCTAAGGTAGCTTTGGGCGTCATCCTTGTATCCTCCGAGTCGTCTCTGGCAATCAGCCAAACTTTTGCCTAAGGTACGATTGCAATTCCTACGGGTACCTTTTCAACGCTCGGAGTGCTTGGGTGGTTGAAGATGAAGGGTGGTGTAGGAGTAAGGTAACCGTGCAAGTAATACGGCATTGCCAGAGGCCCTCCGTCTAGTCCGCCTGCGCAATATGATACTACCCTGCCCTGTTGCTACCTCTTCCATGTACAGAGCCCACGCACACGATGCTGCTTGATCTGGGTGGTTAGTGGCACACGTAAGGACCATTCGGACCAGCATATGAATGGCCCTAGACGCCGCACGGACGGAGCCCAGGCACGCACATGTGGACGGATTGGCCCGACTCTGGACGAACTTGTGTCCATGTGCGATGGGCGTTTCCTGCACGCGGCGTCGCACTGCTTCTGCTAGCTGGTACCACCTTGCCGAAGGCAGGTGGTAGATGTCTTGGGTTGTCTGGCTGGAATTCAGCCTTCTGCGTCAGGTTTATGGCGTAGAGGTTGGCAGTACTTCGGATGTCAGGAGGGAGGTGGTATTGCTGCTGCGGCTTGATGCCACAGTTTTGGATGACCTCAATACTACGGACACTCGTACTTGTACGGCAGAGACCGGCGCAACCCAGGACGCATGGCAGGTACCTTCTACTTTCTCGTTAGCCAGCTGCAACAAGCACGTGTGGGCAAAGTGCTTCTCACCTCTTCGTTTCGACAAGGATCCTGAAGGGCGGGGGTCAGGCTATAATCGCCGATGGGTGGGAATTTATTAGCTACTCGCTCGCAGTGGTGCTACGACCAAGGTGGTAAGTTACATCTGCGACACGTTTCGCCCTGGGCGGCACTTGAATCGCTTGGACGCAGACGTCGTGAGCATGTTTGCTGGATGGAAGCTGAGGGGCGCAGGACGGGTGAGCAGCAGAGTTTGGAGAAGATTGCTTGAATAGCGCAGAGAGAGCGCTGCGTTTCAAGATACATGCACCTCAGCCTTGTCTTTATCTGCATCTGCAGCCTTCCATCTTACAGCGCGCCAAGATGCAGTCGCTCGCCAAATGATAGGGGGTCAGCTGGCAGCCTTGCGGTGTCCGGTACAGATACCTGGCCGTGCACACCGGGCCCGCGCAAGCTCTCCGTACTCGTACATGGTACCGGTGCCCCGTAGGCGCAGGCGCGTCCGACATGCGCCTTTTCTCGAGGCAAGTGCAAGCCTTGTGTCACCACCCCTTTCCTCCATCTTTCAGGCTACCTACGATTCTCACGGCTACTGACCTGTTACCGTCCACAAGCCCATCTTCTCCCCGCACCAAACAAGGCACAACCTAATCCATCGATTCGCCATGGCTGCGTTCCCCAGGTCTCCATTTTCACATGATTTGAGCTCATCTCGCCTGCTGCTCCCGAGACCAGGCTGCTTGCGTCCAATTCGAGATGATGTGCGCTCCGGTCCTCGCATGCCACTCTTTGCTGCTCTGGGGAGCGGGGAGCCACCGACACACTCGTACGAAGTAGCACAGCACATGCTTCTGAGGCGTCCGATCTATCAACTCTCTCAGCACTCGGCGCATACATAGCGTGGTGCTGTACACACACATGCGCCGATACGGATTCCCAGAAAGGAGAGGAGCTGGCGGGAAGAATCGAGTGCCTACAAGTGTAAGGAGTATCGAAGTACGAGGTACGTAGTGCTTGCTGAGTCTTTGCACACAGTACAACAGACTTCTCAGTAGTTGTATTTGTTTCATCACATCAGGAAGAGCTAACGGGCTCCTTGTCCTACAGGGGCCAATAGACCGCTATTGATTTCTCCTGGACTAACCACAGAATCATCAGATGGGAGTACTACCACTGGCTGGACAGCGACATCTCTGTGGGCGACTTGAGCAATAGCGATACCGACGCTTGCTACTGTACAGTAGCCACGGTTGAGATCCTCTCGCCCTCACGTTGCGTCGCCTACTGGACGTTGCTTCGCATACCTGGCGATTACTCTATACAGACACGCCCCTCCAGCACCCAAAGCGTTGGGCGGGCGCAAGCACGTTCCTACCCGGCTAGGGTCCCTCGGGCTGTCAAAACGTGACTCCCATACAGTGGCGAAATGCTTGACAAGACACAAAACCCCTTATGGTAATGCCGTACAGTCCCGGAATGATGCCGAGTTTTCGAGAGGAACGGTCCTTTCTGTCCAAGAACGTTTGACGGATGCGTTTTCGACAAATGACGGCATAAACTGCCGCTGGGGGGGGATGGCTAGGGATGGCACTCTCAGAAGGAAGACCCTGCAATGTCCGTTGGAGGGTCCTTTCTGCCATTTTGACGCTATCCTCCGTGACCCGGCCGCAACAGTCCCGCTCACAACATGCTCGAACCTGGACAAGGAGGGGGCGGCTTTCGCTGGCCGTGGCTGGTTCTGACTGGCCAGGATGGCAGCCTTTAGAGAAAGCCAAGCCAGGGTTCCTCGTGCCGCTGTGGATGGGATGGACTTGGTGTGCCCACAGCTCCACTCCAAGGTGCATATGCGCGATCTTCCGCCGCCACGTGAGACGCGGTCGGCCGCCGCCATTATTGGCGTGAGGGATATCGGCCATAGAAAGTCGGAACCGGTGATAGCGAGCGTGTGAGGGGTGGGCTTGCTGACCAGCGAGCCACGCAGATGGGGCATCTCGGTGGTTTATCGAAACCGGCCGTAGCGCACCACTGGGATCGTCCAAATTCGCGGCATACGAGT